CCCCTCTGTCACCATCATGTCAACCAAGAGCGATTCCTGCCAACCGGAGCACGAGCAGGGCCCGGTTTCAAAGCAGTTCGACGCAGTTAAGCTCGCTGAGCAGGAAGAACTCTTCAAGAAGGTGTCGCCGAACATCCGCATGCTGTTCTTCCCATTTCGCTTCCTCGGCTATTGGATCGGCAGCAGGATCTGGTTTGCAGACCCCTCCGCTCCGAAAGCTCGTACGCTTCTGGACGACATTATCTACGGAGAAGGCCCACGCTTCCGCATCGCATCTCGGGAGCTGTACTTTACTGACATGCACGACAAGAAGGTCATCAAGTATTCGCTGGCGACCGAAAAGAGAACCGTGGTGTACAGTGATCCCGAGGATATGTTGTCTGGGCTGGGATGGCTATCTGATGGTCGTCTGTTGATCTCCTCAATGAACAAGCGCCAGGTGCTCGTCCATGACGAAGCCACTAGCTCGACGGAGCTGTACGCTGACGTGCAGGACGTGACCAGAGTCCGTGCGAACGATATGGTGGTCGACACCTCAGGGCGTGCATACCTCGGCAGCTTCGGGTTCAACAACGCCGACTTCAACGCTGTTGCAAGCTCCGCTATTGTCAGCGTTGGGGCGGATGGAGCTGTTCGAGTTGAGGCTACGGGCGTGGTGTTCCCCAACGGCATGGTCATTACTCCGGATGGCAAGACGCTTATCGTTGGTGAGACTTTTGAAGGCCGACTCACGGCGTATGATGTTGGCAAGGACGGAAAGCTCAGCAACGCTAGGTTGTGGGCAGATGTTGGCTCACCTATCGACGGTATCTGCCTCGACGCCGAGGGCTGCGTGTGGGCGAGTATCGTACAACCCGGTCTGTATCAACTGGGTGGTGGCCTCGTCCGTGTGAAGGAGGGTGGGGAGATCCTGGAAGTGCTCGGTTTCGGGGCAAATGGAATCACCAACGCGGTGTTCGCGTGCCAACTCGGTACAGACGAAGATGGCAAGCACCATCTCTTCTTCATGGAAGCCGTGACGTCCTACGACCACGTGATTTTCAAGGAAGGCGCCGATGCTGCAAGGAAGAACGGCCAAGTGAGGGCTATCGAGGTCAAGGTGGGCCCGGCGCGAATCCCGGGTAACGACAGCTACTGCGGAGGTTATTGCTAGATGTCATAGTTCACGTCAACGTGTTCATGTTGAAGTACATGCGATCTGTTTAACTATGTTGCCATCAATGATACACGTAGTATCTGCCCAACCGTTGGGCCAACCAAGCCGTAACTTCAACTCCTGCCCGCCCGCACGCCACGAGCCTCTTCTCATTTGGCGATTTGCCTTGACGAGGGAGTACCTAGTCTAAATACTGAACTACCATGTCAACAACCGCACCGACTCAACTGGAGCAGGAGGACAAACCGATGAGTGAGCAAAAGCCCGACACGAACAAGGCCCAGCAACAGCAGGAGCTGTTCCCCAGTGTGTTTCCAAACATCCGCATGCTGGTATTCCCGTTCCGATTTCTCGGGTACTGGCTTGGGCGCAAACTGTGGGCGGAAGAACCGCGGGCCCCGCAAGCGCGAACTCTGCTAGACGACATCGTCTACGGCGAAGGTCCGCGCTTCCGAATCCCAACTAAAGAGCTTTACTTTACGGACATGCAGGACAAGAAAGTCATCAAGTACTCGCTGGAAACGGGCAAGAGGACGCTTGTGTACGACGACCCGGAGGATATGCTCTCCGGGTTGGGATGGCTACCGGATGGTCGTCTACTGATCTCATCGATGAACAAGCGTCAGGTACTGGTCCACGACGAGAAAACCAATACTACCGAGCTGTACGCGGATGTGAAGGACGTGACGCAGGTCCGCGCCAACGATATGGTAGTTTCCACGTCTGGTCGAGCGTATCTCGGCAGTTTTGGCTTCCACCACGCTGACATCATGTCGATCGCGAGCTCCGCCATCGTCAGTATCGGCCCGGATGGCTCCGTCCGTGTAGAGGCGACGGGCTTGGTGTTCCCGAACGGAGTGGTGATCACTCCCGACGGGAAGACGCTCATTGTCGGGGAGACGTTCGAAGGGCGACTGACAGCGTACGACATTGGCGAGGACGGTAAACTATCGAACGGCCGGCTGTGGGCCGATGTCGGCTCGCTCGTGGATGGTATCTGCTTGGACGCAGATGGCTGCGTTTGGGCCAGCATCGTACAGTCTGGAATGTATCAGACCGGCGGCGGACTTGTCCGCGTCAAGGAAGGAGGTGAGATTTTGGACGTCATCGGCTTCGGCGCCAATGGCATCAAGAACTCGGTGTTTGCGTGTCAACTAGGCACGGACTCTGACGGTAAGCACCAGCTCTTCTTCATGGAGGCGGCCACGTCGTACGACGATCTGATCTGGAAAGATGGACCCGAGGCGGCTCGCAAGAACGGCCTACTGCGCGCGATCGAGGTCAGCATCGGTCCGGCGCGTGTTCCGGGCAACGACTCGTACTGCGGTGGATACTGCTAAGCCTTCAACTGTTCTACCTGTATGTTTGAATATCCCGTCTAATACATAATGGGTACCTTTATCTGTTTACCATTATACCTTGTTGCTAGTAGCAGTGCGAGATCTGATTTTCAATGAATTAACCCTTTCTCCCCATTCCACTGAAAGGTAGCCAGTCGTACAGCTTCGTAAATGATGTCTTCATAACTGACAAATAAACTGCAATGCGAATCGCGATTGTTTCGTTCCCCTTTCACAGCATCGGTGCTCGTCGACAGATGCTTGTGTTGAAAACCTAAAAACTCTCGTAATCGCCCCGCTTACCGATGTCTTTGTTTGCAGCCAATGGCTCGCAACAGCGCGGCCAAGTCACAGAGATCGGGAACACGACCCAATCAGCGTGCACAGAAGCCGTGCTAGTATGAATTTTGGCAAATTGGGATAAAAAGGTTTGAAACAAGAAGCATATTCTAGATATTTAGACTTCATTTGTGTTCACAAATAGAACTATAATTGGATTTGCAGAAATTCTGCGCAACCAAATGCTGCCATAAGTCGAAAAGGCTCCAGACACTCACACAAGCGAGGAAGTCGAAAAGCTCTTGCTGCTCGAGCGCGTGCTATCACTGTCTCCACGCACCACAGCCCAGCCTCATCTGTTGCGAGCCCTCCCCAGTACACCAGCTTTATACCAACCGCGTTATCAAGCGCGGATTAGCTCTAGACCCGATGAAAATGGCATCGACTCCTGTGGCTCCGCCTGCCGCTCCAGCGCCGGCGCATGCCAGCACACCTGCAGTCACGAAGCCCGTATCTGCCGATGGAAACACACAAAGTGAAACACAGCCACAGACTACGGCAATCACGGAGGAATACAGCGCTGAAGGCCTGACGACGCTCTGGCCAGACAGCCGATGTTACCTGCGCAACCTCGTACTGGGCCGCGAGTGCCGCAACGTGTTCAACCTCGAGCCCAACACCATCTTCCTTAATCAGAATGCGTACGGCGTGGCCCCAAAGCCCGTCATGCAGGCACAGGCTCACTTCGTTAACAAGATGGAGATGAACCCGGACCGCTTCATGCGCCGCGAGGTGCCCGTGATGCTACGCCAGGCGGCTTCACATCTCGCTCGCTTTATCCACGCAGACGCAGAAGATCTCGTCTTTGTGACCAACGCCACGACAGGCATGAATGCCGTGTTGCAGTCGCTGGACTTGCAGAATGACGACGAAGTTCTGTGTCTAAACCTCACATGTACGTTCTGTTTACGCCGTGGATGTGCTGCATTGATGACAATGCCTGCATGAACGCTAATGTACCTTCGTGTTGCTGTTGGTCGTCCTATAGACTCGGCAGTGCTCAACACGCTGCGCCATCTTTGTTACTGTACGCAGGAGTTTGTCGAGCTCAAGGTGGTGGACGTCGTGCTGCCGATTGAGAGCTACGACGCGTTAGTTCAGCAGGTAGCGGATGCGATCACGCCCAACACTCGACTGGCCGTACTGGACCACATTGCCAGCACCACAGGTTTCGTGCTGCCACTGGAGAAGCTTATCCCGATTTTCCATGCGCGGAATATTCCCGTTCTGGTGGATGGCGCCAGCGCACCCGGCCAGCTGCCGCTCAACCTCAACGAACTGGGTGCTGACTTCTACGTGGGCACGGCATACAAATGGCTATTCAGCTGCAAGTCCTGTTCGTTTCTGCATGTGAGCAAGGCGTACCAGAATACCGTGCGCCCCGTAGTGACGTCTCTAGCCTACGGCCAGGGTTTTGTGGAAGAGTTCGCGATCCAGGGCACGCGAGATGAAGCCAACTTCCTCACGATCGTGTCGTCCCTGGACTTTTACGAGAGCGTGGGCGTGAGTCGCGTGTCCGCACACAACAAGTCACTGATCGACTGGGCCGGAGAGTACCTGGCCTCGACCTGGAAGACGAACGTCTTGCTGCCGGCGTGGCAGCGCGCTCCGTTCGTATCTAACGTGCGCATTCCCGTGGAGTGGCCGACGAATTCCGACGGCGCTCCATTGTCGCACGATGAGGCGCTGCCGTTGTGCGACGCCATCATGGACTTCCTGGACGACCGGTACCGTATCGTGGTGCGTGTAGTGCCGTTTCAAAACCAGCTCTACGCGCGCATTAGTGCGCAGATTTACAACGAGCGTAAGGACTACGAGCAACTTGGCCAGGCAATGCTGGAGGTGACCAACACACCCACTCTAGGCGACTATCTCGCGCGGATGCGAATCTAAAACAGCTAAGCGTACAATATACACATGATGAACGGATGGAGGCGTGTCATTAGCGTTCTTGGTGGAGTATTACGCGCTTGGAGTTGGCGAGCGGCAAAGAGTCATCTACAGTTCATCATCAACAGTTGAGTGACAACTTCTGTCCAATTATCGAAATGATTAGGCCAATCTGACGCTATTCTGACCAACCAGAGGCTCGAAAAGATGAAATTCTTCCTCAGAAATGCGACACAAAATCCATAAAACGTAAGACTCAGAGGCGGGGTCCCTCCTTTATTCTTTGGGCACAACAAAAACAGCAACACAAGTGTCGGATCTCTTCGATATCCTCACGTACTAATGACGGACCAGATCACCACCATGGAAGGCGCTATCCGCGCGGCGGAGCAGACGCTGGAGCACCTTTTCAACCCGTCGCTGGAGCAGGACAAACGTATCCCCATCGACCTCATCCACGAAGCCAAGGGCTTGGCCTTCCTCACGGTCGTCAAGGCCGGTTTCATCTGGACGGGCAAAGTGGGCACGGGCGTGGTCATCTCCAAGCTGCCTGATGGCCGCTGGTCGGCCCCCAGCGCTATCGGCACGGCCGGCATGGGCTTCGGCGCTGAGATGGGCGCACAGATGATCGAGTTCATGATCATTCTCAACTCGGACACGGCCGTTAAGAGCTTCATGCAAAAGGGTCAGCTCTCGGCCGGCGCCAACCTCGAGTTCGCTGCTGGCCCGTACGGCCGCGCTGCCGGTGCCAATGCTAACTTCAGCGCCTCGGGTGTCGCCCCTAACTACACGTACAGCCACAGCAAGGGCCTGTTCGGCGGTGTGGGGCTGCAGGGATCGGGTATCATGGCCCGATCGGACATCAACAAAAAGTTCTACGGCCGTGAGATCACTCCCACCGAGATCCTTACCGGTGCTGTGGACCAGCCTGCCGCTGCCTCGCAGCTGTACGACGCGCTGCAGCGCGTGGTAAGTATCCCGCCGTCGGGTAACGTGCAGAACTTCCGACAGAAGCTCATGTCGCCGTTCACGGACCGCATGCCTGCTGCTGCGGTCGGACCGGACGTGCAGGTTGTGTACGACCGCGTGCTACGACTCATTGAGAGCATCTCAGGTCCTGCTGGTGTGGACGAGTTCAAGACTAGCTGTAAGGACTACGGCCAGAACCGCTGCACCGACGATCAGTTCGTCACGTACCTGGACAGCAAGTTCACGGCAGAGCAGACCCTGGAGCTCGTGCCGGAGGTCGTCAAGCTTCTGCAGGACGCCAACAAGCGGAAATACATCTGGGTACGTCGATTGTCGGTCTGCACATGAGTCGAAGCTCGAGCTAACAATTGTATTTTTTTTTATTATTATGACACAGGACTACTACCTCAAGATCAAGGCTGATCACGGCTCGCAGCCACGATCGACGGGTGCTGCAGGTTCGCCCTCGCTTTTCTAAGATCAAAGCGTCAGTGAGAACTAGCCCGGATCGACGGATAAGCCAGTGAAGCGTTGGATAACAGTTAGGTTGGAAGGCGATTTGCTCTGCTGCCATCCTTTTATAAGCCGCGTTTAAGTACGCTACCATAGCATTTCGAATGCACTAGTTTTGTTGTGTTAACCTTGTTCGTGAAAGGCATTTCAGCTGTACTGTCATCCATTAATCAGCTGCATATAATTTAGCACTAGTGTTGGTGTATCTATGCGGTATTAACCACGTCTTCATCGGCTGATACTCCTCGTTCGTTGTTGACGGAATGATTTACTACGAGGTGCGCGTCTATCAAAGTAGTGGCCGAATTCGCGGTCAAGAGGATCCAACGGAGGGTTTTCTGCTGCACTGGTAACATGAGGAAGCAAAGGCGAGTCGTCGATACCTGAGGACTCTTCGTCGTCAGACGATGGAAGCGAGGAGTAGATCCAACCTGGACAAAATCGCTCTTTGTAGGCTTCCAGCGACTGCTTGTTCGTACCGTACGCTACAGCATTCAGCAGTGGTTGCAGTGGATCGCAGATACTTTCCATTACACTGAGGAACTCGTTCGGTGTGTGGTCAGCGCGGAAGAATTGCACCAACCGGTTGATGATTCCCCACACCGAGCACAGGAAGAAGATGCCCAGATAAAGCTTCACCTTCTCTCGGAAACGTGATGCCATAGGGTCCATGTGCAGAAACTTGAGAATAGAGTGGTAGACGCCAACGATGAAGATGAACACGCAGAGGACTGGTGTGTAGAACAGTAAGAGCTGTTGCACCGCACCTTCCCGTCGCCAAACGAGCGGGTTTTCTCCTGCCTCTTCCTGTGTAGAGTGCACTGCTATCCAGCACCACCTTCGGTCAGCTCCGCCGACCCCGAGGTGTCCTGTAAGCTGGCGAAGTACGAGATAAGCCAGTAAAAGTCCCGGCAGCCCCCATCCAACGCCGCGATACACCCACAAAAACTCCTCCGGGTATTCGTTCCTACAAAATAATTAACCATCATCAATGTCGATGATCCCAACTTGAAGACAATTAAAGCGGTTGCCGCACCGCTTGACGATGATCTGGTAGAGATGGAAGGCAAAGCAGGCTGTCCAGAAGTACGACGCCAGGTAGAAGTACTGTAGCATCAACGCCTGCGCATAGCACAGTCCCTCATGCTGTCGGTAGTTCTGTCCCAGCCCGTTTACTATCAGCGACCTAGCATCAAATAGATTGCACTGCGTCGTTAGATCCAATAGCTTTTCAAAATGAGAAACGGAGCAGCGTGTGACGCACATGGAGAAAGCGAAGGCAGTGACGAGCCCCGCAAGACCCAGCGATGTTACTATGCGGCGACTAACATAGTTTGGAGCTTCCACACGCTTCCATGTCGCCAGCAAGAAGCCACACCCTGTACAAGACACGCACGACGCCACCAGTAGCAGCACTTCCTGCACAAGCTCCATGCCGATCAAAGCTAAGTGATCTATTTGACCAGGAATCATGTGCACCACATACACTGTGCGTACACATAATATGTACTTAAATGTTGCTGCCTTATGCTGAAGGGGGCGCTTATCCGACACTCATTCTGTCTTTTGCATAGTGGAGGGAAGGAGGAATCTGTACGATGTCGTCGCTCGCTTCACCCCCGGGTCATGGAGCCTCTCTGCGTCCAGCGGCGTCTCCGGTACAGGCGCATGCATCTCCTGGTCGATCACACGCCGTCGCAGGACTGCAATCACTGGATATCCCTGCGAAAACCGATGCCAACGCCTCTGTCATGGACGAACTACTGCTGAAGTATCTGCAGACGCGAGGCTATCACATCTCCAAAGGAGAGACGCAGCAACCAGAGGCCACAGAAGAGGACAGAAGGAGACTGTTAGGCGACCAAGCGGCACGGATAGAGAACGCCAGCATCGACAAATACGCGCAGCAGATGGGTTTGACTACGGAGGCGTGCACTGCGAATCACTTGGTACGTTGTTGCGGCAATTGCTATGGCTACAGCAATAGTTTCTATGGTTATAGCTGTGTTATAGCTTCTTACACTCGAAAGAACGGCGCTTATAGCCTTCTTATGGATGAATTATGATCGATTTTAGTTGCTGACAGGTTGACTGTGATGCTTTGTGATACTATAGCTATTTTACGGACTCACTGGCGGCAATCCTGAAGCGTATGACGAGGCGTATGGAAAGCTGCTGGACTGGATCTGCAACTCGTTGGACATGTACCGCAACGAGCTGCACGCTGTGGCTTTCCCGATCTTTGTGCACTGCTTCTTGGAGCTATTGGCCAAGGGATTCGTAGAGGCAGGCAGGAGTTTCTTCCATCGATATGCGTCAGACCACACGAGACTGCACTTGGAGGAGCTGCGTACACTCAGTCTCGTGTTCTCGCCGCAGCATTTGCGTGAAAACGAGTACGTGCGCGAAGTGCTGCACAGCAAGTTTAATATCGAGATGAGCTTGCTGTCTTTCGAGCTGCTCAACACTTTTTTGAGCCAGGAGCGTCTCTTTTTGCTGCTATCGATTGTCAACGAGCGCGTGAATCTCGTGGTAACGTCGAACCAACCAGGTATACAGATTCAACAGCTTCAGGATGCATCTAATCCAGTCGAAGTACTGAATAATTTGGAGCCGAAAAGCGACGCAGCTAGCGGATTTAAGACGTCAGACGAACTAGCACAGGCTGTCGCGACATCGGACCATCCAACCGAGAGTGAGATCACTATGCCTTTGACGACGGGGCCCTACGACATCGACTACATGGTGCGCGCAGCAAGTGGCTCTGCTGCAGCTACTGGAAGCAATGGCTACACAGTGCACGATCTGAACGCTATCCCTGTAAACTGGGGAGTCCTACCCGAACGCAAGGTGCATGATCCCTCTGCAGATGAAGAAGACGAAGGGCAGGAAGGTGTAGCAACCGCTAACGGAGCAGCAGGGAGTAGCTCTACTAGTGGTGCTGGTGGTGAGGCTGCAGCAGCCGATGGAGACAAAAAGGCAGATGGAGCGAAAGATAAAGGCAAGGCTACAGCATCAGCAGATGCGCACCGTAAGCACAAACGTGTAAAGCTATCAAGTGACGGCACAGTAGGCAAGAAACGAGAGTTATTGGAGGAGACGGGCCCACTTCCTGATCGGAAGAATGCTTTCAACGCAGAAGTGATGGAGAAACTTGTGCTTCGCGTACCTACCAACATGAAGGAACATATTCTCGATGACATTCGGCTCCGCGCTCCAGTGAGTCGTAGTGCGCTGCCATCGGCTCTGTGCTTCACTCTGCTGAATTCAGCAACACACGTCAACAACATGTGCTTTAACGACGACGTGACCATGGTCGGCGCTGCTTGCGATGATGCCTCTTTCCGTGTATGGCGCAACGATGACCAGCCACTTGGAACAGCTACAGGATCAGTCTACCATGGCAGTACAGGGTCATCGTTCACAGAGGCAGAAGAAGATGAGAAGATGGCTGTGCTACGAGGCCACTCGAGTGCTGTATATGGCGCAAGCTTCTCTCCGGACAATCGTTTCGCACTCACGGCATCAGCTGACTCAACGGTACGGCTGTGGAGTCTGGCGGCTAAGAGCAACCTGGTGGTGTACCGGTCGCATCAGGGAGCTCCTGTATGGGATGTTACCTTTGCGCCGTTAGGATACTACTTCGCGACCTGCTCCATGGACCGGACAGCGCGACTCTGGAGTACGGATCACATCACCCCACTCCGTGTATTTGCTGGTCATTTATCGGATGTGGACTGCGTACGTTTTCATCCGAACCACAATTATCTGGCCACTGGATCCAGCGACAAGACTGTACGGCTGTGGGATGTGCAGTCCGGCAAATGTGTCCGTGTTTTCACGGGCCATTTTCGTGGAGTGCAATGTCTGGCATTCTCGCGCAATGGTCGATATCTCGCAAGCTCAGGAGAGGACCAGTACATCAATATTTGGGATCTACAGGCCGGCAAACGTCTGGAAACCCTCATGGGTCATAAGGCCATGGTCACGTCACTAGACTTTAGTCAGGAGAGCACGATACTAGCAAGTGGTGGCATGGACTCGACGGTGCGTCTCTGGGATATGAAGGCGCTCACGGAGAAACCCACGACCTACTCAACTCTTTCAGGCGCAATGGAAGACTTGCACGTGAGTTCGTCGGATGTAGACGAATCGAACGGCACTCAACTGCCTGGTCGAAGCCGATTTGTCAAACCCGTGCCGATGGTACGACCAGGAGCGGTACAGGAGCTGCCGTCCTCACGTTTCCTGCTCAAGACGCTGCGCTCCAAGCAGACGCCCATGTATCGCGTCCACTTCACGCCGCGCAATTTGCTGCTTGCTGGTGGCATCTTCCAGCCGAAAATGGAGACATAGTGAGCCTGTAGCGCCCCTGTGAGGGATAATCTAATGCGAAATTCCACGCACTACTCACCCTCCTCAACTTGTGCTGGGTGTATTAGTTTATACAGCTACTGCTCATTATCCTATCTCGATGCTAGCCATGACTTACTTCCGAAGGAGAGTCACGGCCAACGCGGCGGCAATTACGGTGAGTCCCACCGTCACGCGCTTGGTGAACCGTAGCTGGCTCTCAAGAGCATCCACCCGTTCAAGTACGCCGCCCATGGAGCGCGCGGCGTATTTGCCAAGCACATCCGGTTCGAGGTTGACACGGTCGCCGACCTTCTTAAGCGGCAGGATGATGTGGTTCTGTGTATAAGAGATCAGCATGATGGAGAACCAACCGTTCGTGCGGTCCACTTCGCACACCGTGAGGCTCGTGCCGTCGATGGCGATGTAGCCCTTGGTCACGATATCACGCAGAATCTCGGGTGTGGCGGAGATCTTGACCCAGAGCGAGTCGTCCTCGCGCGTGAAGGACAAAATGGAGCCTGTGCCGTCCACGTGGCCCTGCACGAAGTGACCGCTATTGCGCGCATCCACACCCATACTGCGCTCCACGTTCACCTTGTCGCCAGCCTTGAGCTCACCCAGGTTGGTGCGACGCAACGTCTCGGGCGCCACACCAAAGGCCACGCGGTCCTCGTCGATACTTGTGGCGGTCAGGCACGTGCCGTTGACGGCGATGCTGCAGCCTAGATACGCGCCCTCCAGCGCCACCTTAACGCGCACCACTAGCTCAAAGCCAGTGCCACGCTCACCGTTCCATAGCAGCAGGTCATTGCGCTCCTGCATGGACACCACAGTGCCGATCTCCTCGATGATACCCGTGAACATTGCGTTCGTGTGTCAAAACTGAAAATGAGCTGCTCACTTCGATCATGTATAAATTGACGGTCACTGATTGGCTATTTAAAGCTGACCAATCAACGCATTTGTACTTACGTAATCAGCGTACGGGACATTTTGATTCGGACATGCATCACTAAGTACGTGACGACGTCACCAAGTTGCCATGACGCGTCCTATCTAGTACGTGTTGCTACTCTGCAGACCCTGGGCGATCTTGACGCCGGCACTAGTGCCGAGACGTGTGGCTCCAAGCGCGATCATCTTCTCAGCATCTGTAGCCGAGCGGATACCGCCGCTAGCCTTCACCTGCTTGCCAGCAGGCTTAGCGATGCTAGCCATGAGCTTGATGTCCTCCTCACTCGCACCTACACGACCACAACATAAAACATTTAATCAGTTAATCAACCAGAACAAACTCTTAGTGACTGCTAGCTGACAGCGTACCTCGCGTAGAGAAACCCGTAGACGTCTTGATGAAGTCGGCACCAGCCTCAATGGCCAGCTCGCTGGCCTTCCGAATCTGCTCCGTGTTCAACAGCGCCGTCTCAAGAATAACCTTGCTGACCGCACCGCGCTTCTTGCACACGGCAACAACAGCGCGGATGTCGTCAAGCACAAAGCCGTACTCCTCGGCGCGGAGCATGCCCACGTTGATGACCATATCGATCTCTTCAGCGCCGGCGTCCAGACTCTGTTGAGCCTCGAACGCCTTGGTGGCCGTCGTGACGGCACCAAGCGGAAAGCCCACGGCGCAGCAAACCTTTACGTGGTGCTTGCTACTGTCCTCCAGCTCATCCAACGTCTGCGAAAATATAACAATGAATAATTGACAATAACAGTACTCTGTTGCTGCAGTCTCCTCACCTTACGAGCCAACGATGCATACGACGAGTTGACGCACACAGTGCAGAAGGAATACTGGGCAGCCTCTTGACACAACGTCTTGATCTGCGACGGCAGGGCATCCGCCTGAAGATGTGGATACCACAGAGATTAGTCAGACTAACTAACCTGAGCTTCATCTGCCGCCGTTGCAGGGCGCACCTTGAGGAGGGTATGGTCGATGTATTGGTTCATGGTTCGTGAGCAAATTGGTGAATGCGAGATGAGCGTTCGTCTCCAGCTCAAGGTCTCTCAGGTAAGCATTCAGCGGATACCCAGTGATTTTCATCCAATACCGTTGGATAGTGATGATTTGAGCTAACCATATTGGACAAAATATAAATGAGTAAAAATACGCACTGCGATGCGATTCGTTGAAAAAACAACCAATAGTCTCGTCGCTGATCAACTTCAACTGCCACACGTCACAGATTTCTATTGGTAAGTTCATCGTCTGTAGCGTCGGCACCTTACTCAACAGCATGGTCGATTCCATGAAGGCCTTACGCTAGGTCCACGTTAGTAAAATCAAAGCAAAACTTTAAATCTGCAACAGTCGGCGCGCCAGGAGTTCTCCAGAAGTTCGTCGAGATCATGAACTTGGTCCCTATTTACATGGATTAAGGGCCTGCGGGGTCAATCCGTTATCATGAAAGCTGCATGGTAGTTCCGTACATACGGTAAGAACATGTATTATGAGGGTCACAAACCAATCTCTGGTCGACCAGTACGGGATCCAGTGGCTAGCAACCAAGTCAGTGAATGCTTGGAGCTCGCGACCTCCGTCAATTTCCATCACCACTAGATTGCAAACCCGTTTGTATTCTGTCGACCCTGAGCGATGTCGACACCAGCACTGGTGCCCAGACGTGATGCTCCAAGCGCGATCATCTTCTCCGCATCTGCAGCCGTGCGGATGCCGCCACTAGCCTTCACCTTCTTGCCAGCCGGCTCAGCAATGCTTGCCATAAGCCTGACATCCTCCTCACTCGCACCTACACGACCACAAATATCACACCAGTTAGACAATACAGTCAACAGTAATGCAGGTCTGATTATAACTGTCGCAAGCTACCAAACGTACCTCGTGTAGAGTAACCCGTAGACGTCTTGATAAAGTCGGTACCGGCCGCGATAGCCAGCTCACTGGCCTTCCGAATCTGCTCCTCGCTCAGCAGTGCGGTCTCCAGAATAACCTTGCTGATAGCACCGCGATCCTTACACACACCCACGACAGCACAGATATCACGCAGCACATAGTCGTATTCCTTGGCGTGAAGCATGCCCACATTGATAACCATATCGATCTCCTCAGCACCAGCGTTCAGACACTGCTGGGTCTCGAAGACCTTGGTGGCTGTCGTGGTCGCACCCAGCGGAAAACCCACGACGCAGCAGACCTTGACACGCGGTTTCCTGGTATCCTTCAGCTCATCTAGCGTCTACAACAATACAACATGTAGTAAATAACACTAGCACTACCGAACAATAACTCCGCCATTGCATCCTCCCCACCTTGCGAGCCAATGAAGCGTACGACGCGTTAACGCACACAGAGCAAAACGAATGCTGGACTGCCTCCTCACACAGAGTCTTGATATGCGACGGCTGAGCTTCCGCCTGGTGATGCCATAAACGATCAATTAGACGCACATATCATCCAATCCAGTCGTTGCGTCACGCACCTTGAGCAGGGTGTGGTCAACATATTGGCACATGGTCCGTGAATTATTTGCTACCACTTCGGGGATGCCAGGGGAGTCGAAAAAAGTTTTCTTGTCTTCATCCGATGCTTCCAAGTACTGGTTCCAAATTGTCGTGTGGCAAACTTCATGGTGTCTCTTGTAGTTGTCTGTGCGGAAAGGGGTGCGGAAGTTGTGCACATTCGTTGTTCGCTTCCGCTTCCCCTTCGGATTGGCTTCACGTCCAAACTTTATACAAAACCTGCACGCAGCCAATAGTACAGCAGACGTCTCTGGGTCGCGTTCAACGACTTCTAAGCCGTACTTGACATCGTGGCCTCGCTGAAACGGAGTCGTCAAGCCTGCTGGCATGGTGCTTTTAGACGTTAGAAACAAATGAATGACGTGTGCGCATCGTTTTTTAAACTTGTTTTTGTCCAGTAATAATCGAAAACTCAGCGAACAAGCTATCTGACTGGTAAAAATTTACGAAAAAGTGAAAAAAAAACACGCACTGCAAAATGAGTCGTTGGCTAATAGCATCGACGGTCACTTCAAACTGCCACAAGTCACACATTCCAGTGGCTCACGTGACCTTGGAGGCCGCGGCGGCGACGGCAGCTCCCATCAGACCGCCAGGACGAGCGAAGCGCAGCGAGTGCACCACCCATAGCGACGAGCCCAGTACTAGAGCCGCACCACCCTGGTGCACCATCGCCAGCGACGTCGGCACCTCGTTCACCAACATCGTCGTGCCCATGAAGACCTGCCCCAGACAAACCGCGTTAGCAAGGCCAAAACTTCCCAAACACCCTTCCAATAATTGCAATACCTGGCCACCAACAGCTGCCAATGCCAGCATCATAGCGCGCTTGGCGTCCTCTGGCAGGTTTGTCCAGATGTTAGGCTTGCGCGCCTTCATGAACACCGCCGTGTAGGCAGCGAGCGTGGTCAAAGCCAAGAGGCGATGGTCGAACTGCACGAGAGCTACATTGTCGTGGAAGTTGCGCAGAAACGGCTGAAGATAGGGAAAAGTTAGCACAATATTTAGTGCGGTGAACTGTTGATACCAAACCAACCTTCTGCTCGAACAGACCGTGCGGGATCCAGTGATCACCCATCTTGGGAAACGTTTGGAACTCGCGACCGCCGTCGATTTCAGCCACCAGGGAGCCCGCAAAGATCGTGCCGGCGACTAGACCAGTCAACGCCATGAAGTGATTGCGCACCTCACCTAACTCTTTAAGCACACCGGGCGTCACGAGTCCACGCACCGAGATCGCTCTCGACACAGGCGAAACGATCCCCAGCCCCGTCCAGACAAGAAGCGAGAAGTTCGCGAGCGATAATGCTGACTACAATTATACAAGGAACTGTGAGAAAACACGGTGATGTAAGGATACTCAAATACGTACGTGCACTGGGAGGAAGAACGTGGCTCCTTCAAACATCGGTGGCTGGTCACGGTGGTGTTTTCCAGCATGCTTGATGTTCTTCTCCACCATTTCTCGGCCGATGTACAGTTGGGTTGCTCCGAGCCCTGCAACTAGCGCCAAAGGAGCTTGCGCTGGGATCGGAATCTTACCCTTCATGGCGAAATATGTCAGCGGAGCCACGAACGCGAGTGCAGTCAGTTGACCGAGCTTCCGGTGAGCCGATTCCCACTTGTAGTTCCGCTTGAAGTCCTCAAGCGTCTAACAGTTCATCAGAGTTAACTACTATGGACGGCGTTGAAGGTGTAGAGTCTCGCTTACCATGGGGGTACGCTGAGAACGATCGCAGAAGTCACGATAAACGTCGAACTCATCGTGCCATTCGCTTTCAGTCTTCGGTGAGTGCATGAAATGCGGCTTCCAGTACAGCGTCGACGCCCCCGTCCGTGTGAGGCGTGCCGCTGCACCAACAGTGAGTGTAGTTGCCACTAACCCCGCAGTACCAAAGAGCCACCACGGCAACGGTGACTCCATCATTGAACTCTTCGACTTCTTCAGCATTTCCGACGTCCACGACACGGAGAAGCGCTATCTCGCAACGAAGCAGGCAACATCAGTACAGCGTTGCCATCCAAGTACATGAACCAAACCTACCTTTTGATGGGGATTCAGTTGCGTTCGTAGCGACGCACCACTCAATGGTTTGCTAGTCATGTTGGACTTCATCGAGCACAGTCTCGACGTAGAGATGTTACGTCCTCTCTGCATACCAATTCAGCGTCAGTGAACTTGTCAAGTGCACTGAAGAAGAAGACATACCAGGAGCAGTTGAGACGCCATTGTTGATATCTCGACTACTCGATTCGCTGCAATTTCAATTGTGAGTCGAGTTAGCTCCTTGCATTTGATAGATCCGACAGTTAGGTTGGGGACACGACGACGAAAGATGAAGAAGGTGTGACAATGCACTTGAAGCAACTCATTGAACTTTATACTAAAAGTTACTAGCACCTTCGCTCTATCATTTTGTCCGAATTCAATGGGTTTAAGCCGACGTCGGGGCCGTGTACGCGGTCAGAGTGATAGGCGAGTCACCCGAGCACACGGAAAATGCCGAAGTGGCCGTCGCAGCAGCGCAGTCAATCTGCGTGGTCGGTCCCTCGCTCGTGATGTTCGTGGGCTTCTCGTAGCACGTACGGATAGCCGACAGTTGGTTGTTGCCATCTACGGCCGAGCACAAGACCATGACGCTGTGGTCGTACAGAGCCTCAATCTCGGCCAGAGTCGTCTGCGGTGTCGATTGCGCGGCCCACTTGTTAATCTGCTCGGTAGCCGAGCTGATGCGATCCGCCGTCTTCAACGTAGCTGTGAAGTACGTGACGGCAGCCGAGATGTAGTCATCACCGTCCGCAGCGTAGCAGAGACCGTGCTTCTGGAACTCGTGGTTGTAGATCTCGCACAGCGACTCGTACGTGGTGGCCTGCGTGGCGTCCACCCACTTTTCACCCATTGTGGCGAGAAGAGTGCTCTGCGCGGCAGCGAAGTCAGCGGCGTTGTACGGGTCGTTCACCACCGTCGAGCTCGGGTTGCAGCAGCTCACGTAGCCGTCGTTATAGTTGGGCCACAGGCCGTGGATCGTGAGCTCACTCTTGACCACGCTCTCGACGCAGGCCGTGCCGTTCGGGTACACGTCGATGTTCTGGTGCGAGATAGTGGAGTCGACACCCTTGAGCAGGTCACGGCAGAACTGCGGGACGAAAAGCTGCTCCAGAACCATATAGTCGAAGTCACCCGGGACCATCGTCTTGGCGAGGCAGGCGGCGTCCGAGGTGAGGCACGTCTTGGACGGTGCCGAGCAAATGTCCACGCATTGGTTGGTGGGGTCCGATGCGAGCCAACCGCCGGCGTAGTTGGTGGCGGCAGCGGACGAGGCCTGGAAGTCGACGGCTAGCAGGGTGGAAGCGAGGACGGCGGTGGCGAAGCTAGTGAACATCGTAGAAGAGAATGAAGATCGTCTTGTGCTCAAGTAGGCAAATTGCGTTGTGGTCTGCGAGGTCTTGCACGAAGGTCCGCACGGTGCTTGCCCTGTTTCGTGGCGCAAATCCCGGCCAAGGTGCACGGTCAGTCACCGTCGATGGCAACTCACTCACCCAGGCTGTAACGCGCCGCCGTTGCATGCTTGATCGCACATCTTGGTGCATTTGTTAGTCGCCGAGGTTGTAGACGTCTACTCGATTAACGAACATCCGTAGAGACTCGGGTCTCAAGGGCTCACAGTGAGCCTCGCTTGGGTGAGCTAATGCAGCGAAGAGAGTCATGGAGTCCACCTGCTGTCAGTAAATGCCACCCTTTCTATCAGACTCACGCCAACGAGCTCTTATCCTTGAAGAGGTCTGATGCAGACTTGATCACTGGAAACGTCAAATTACTGCAGTCCGCCGACGTCCTTTTAAATTCCTTGAGTGCTTTTAGTCAGCACAAATAGGTATCTGAAAGCAGCACGTTCACACTGGTCATTCAAGAAAAAAAATGCTGGTGCTTAAAAATCCACTTAAGAAAACAAATCTCGCTTCACGTGGTATCTTGACATGCATGCAGGCTTGCAGGTCGTACAGAGGCAAGGTATCCCGTCGACCTGATCAACTCCAGCTCGGGTATCAAGTTGTCGACAAGTTACCTTTGTGCACGTGCTTGACGCACACGTTTCATCAGATCGCCGCAACGTCTTTAAACAAGTCGCAAACATGAAAACGTGTAGTATTGTTTTGCTTAAGATTGCTAGTTGATGGCTATTATCCTCGGCCCCGAGACGTTCTTGAGTTAATCGCCACGTGATCGAAGCTAAGCGAATTAACATGCACGAGCTTGGCACAACGCCAAACTACAAAACTGAAAAGGGAAAAAAAAATGCAAGGCGGCCAGCTCACCAAGAAGTCCCGGCTCAGAGGTTATTGGCACGCGCGTAGCGAAGCGCCTCGAGTCTGTCAGCGAGCGGCTTGTGCGAGCGCTCAATGAACAGCATCTTGACGTCCATGCCGACGTGGTCGTACTCGGCCGTGAACTCACGCTTGTCGGCGTTCTTGCCTTCTTCGATATGGTAATAGCTGCAGTCCAGAGGCGGTGCGATCGTTCCACGCGCACGAGCGATGTGGTCGTGAGCACGCACGGTACAACGCTTAATCTTGTAGGATGGGTTGTACCAGCACATTTCTTCAAACGAGTGCGACTTGAGGCACTTGATGTTGGTGCACTTGGCTCCACGGAGACAGTACAAACGCTTGCTTTCATCCATCCACTCCCACGTGACTCCAGTATCCACGTGCACGCACACACAGCTATCGTCTTCCTTGATTTGGCTGCCCCAGTAATGAGAAGGTTGACGACAGATCAAGCGCTTGTAGAGCGGATTGTACGTCATGACCTCCATGTACGTGTGTGACAACGGACACGTCGGATCGTGACCCGGTAGTAGCGGACACAGCGTCGCCTTGGGCAATTCATCCATATGATTAAGCATACGTGCGAACATGGCCTTACGGACACGGTCGCTTTCCTTGGGCAGCTCCGTCGGTTTATCGTGATACCAGGTAAACGTCGGGACTAATGCCAAGATCGCCTGCGTTGGCACATCGGCTTGTTTCATAGCGAAACCCGATGATGGCTGCAACGATCTCGTCTGCGGACTCTCAGCACTAGGCGGTAGTAGCGGCTGCAACGAACTCTTGAGTGGACTTTCAGCTCTCAGCGATATCTGCAACGGACTCTCAGGTCCAGGAGGCAGTGGAGGCTGCAATGCCGACTTCTGCGGACTGTTAGAGCCAGGAGGGAGTGGAGGTTGCGACCACACATTACTGGAATTGTCACTGTATCCTGGAGGAAGCGGAGGAGCATCACGACTTGAATTGCTGGTAGTGCTACCAATCGAGCCTAGACGCGATAAAGATGGCGCTTGCGTTGAACTGCCGTTTAATCCGTTCAAACTGCTCAAGTCCAAGCCACTTAAACCTGGTGGTCCAGGCGGTAACGGAGGCGCTTGAACAGATAGACCTTGACTGGACGATAGACCAGATAGAGTGCCATTACTAAAGCCTGGCGGTAGTGTCGTGCTTCGATTAGAACTTTGGTTGCTGTCTTGGAAAAGTGAAGGCGATTGCATACTCGAGTTGACGCTGATACCATTGTTGGCCATTAGCTGGATAATGAAGTCGAACGGCGTCTGGTCGTTGCCATTGCCGCCTGCTGCTTGACGTAGTTGCTGCAGCATGGCCATATCTACGCCCGAATTACCATTCAGAGATAAGTTGCTGTCACTAGTTAGTGAAGGCGACGAAGGTGACGTCTTGGGCTTGCAAGCTTCAAACTCAAGCGCCAGTGTTGGCATCGCCGCGCCAATAGCACTAAAACAGCCGCAAAGCTCGAGGATTTCGCTCTCCGAGAGTGGCGTAGCGTCATGCGAGCGCGCATTACCGATGGAACGCACACCTTGACAGCCCCAGCGTACGCGGTAGACGAGATTAACTAGGTCGTCGTTAAAGTCAGCTTTTTGGTATAGTGCTTCGTGGAAGTCTTCGATACGATTATTGAGTCGCGAACCGCGAACCATCGGTACCTTAAGGAACTCCATATAGACCACAAGTAGAGCTTCAAAGTCGCTGCGGAAGGCGTTGCCCTGCCCCACCTGCAGATGGTTACGTAGCTTGGAAATATACTCGAGCGCTTGGCTCTTCTTGGCCTCATCGTTGATCCATTGGGCCAGCCCCGCGTTGCTCTCGACGCTCAGCGTCTTACTGATGACGCTTTCCAGAAGCGACGGCTGTGTGCGCGCCACTTCGTCGCGGATTTTGTCCACAGCCTGACGATGGTGCGTCTCCACTTGAGCTTTGATGACGTCGAGCATCTCGCCCTGTTTCTTCATGGCCTTGTCCACGGCCTTGTCGATGGCCATGAGCAGCAGCCCACGCTGCTTCACCTCGAAGTCGCTCAGTAGCTCTCCCAGCGCGAGGATCTCGCCTCCGCCGGCGCCGCTGCCGTCGCTACTCATGGATGCCATAGTGATGGTCGTTTGCGTGTTTGTGCACTTTTCCAAGTCTGAAACGATTCAAACGAAAAGTGGGGGCGAAATTTACTCTCAGGATTTGAATGGACGTAACGGCTGCCACAGATCACACAATCGTCCTCCAGTGTCAAACTGGTGCCAGGGTTCGCCAATTCTTATTTCGATTCGTCGATCGAGCTCGCATTGTCGAAGCATTCGCGAAACGCCACAGCATAAAGCGAAGGTGTTCATTGACATAGAAGAATGTCGTCGTAAAAAGGAGCTGCGACCAGGCATTTTCACTTTGCACTCGGCATCTCAAGCGGACACAACTTTCACAATCTAGCGTTGGACAGTTTTCCCGCTTTTACATGTTAATAGTTGAAGCTTTGCCATTCGCATCCCCAAGCCATGCTCGTACAATATACCATAAATTCTTCTTGAAAGGCTGCGCCGTGCATGTAGTGATGGCGACAATTAGGCGAAGAAGTAGGCGAGGAATTTTATGCTTCTGGTGGTGCGTAAGAGTTTTTTCCGACGCAGATCATCAAGAGTCGCAACTTGCCGATCGCAATGAAAAAAAAAAAAAAACGAGGCTGCCCAGCGCGAGGGGAGCTCTCTAAGGCTGAAATGATGCTATGCATTTTGTCTAGTGCGCCGCAACCATGTGAAAACGACAGGTGTCAAAGAGTTAGTGGTGGCCTGCACCACAGGGTTACCCTAAAAAATAGCTACTGTATTTAGTGTTAGGGTAAGCACACTAATGACCCTTTCTAAATCGATATCATCTTTCCACGCGAAGTTTCCATAATCCAGTACTTGAATATATGTGCTGGATTATGAAATTTGGCAAATAAAAATCATCTTGAGTGGACTGCACTGCCGCTGTTCTGCACTCAGTGAAGTACAGCGGCATTAAGTTCGCACCAATAAAAAAAACAGTACACTCGTAAAGTTCGCATGGAAAATGTTGGCCTAGGTAAACTCCTACTTGCTCAGTTCTACATCGGATTCCTGAAAGCGTTTCGCGCGCGAATTTGTCTACAGCCCGGATCTTGTGGAGCGCATTCATATAGGGGTCGATCTCGACCCGGGCAATTGGCAGATAATGTACGTTCCTCTCGATGCTCCGTTCGAGACGGTCTACACGGACTATCTGTCCCTTGTCGACTAGGGAATGTAAGCGTCCAGACTGCATGTGCGCAGATAAGGAGTCAAGATGAATCAACTACAGCCAGCGTATTCATTCAATACAGCATTTATTGCTATCCCGAAATGTTTTACTGTAAGATAAGTTAACTTGAGGAACTTGAGAGTCTCGTTCATGATAAACGTTGGTGCGGACTATGGCATGATCTTAAACGAGTCGGATCCAGCTGGTTGCAAATATCTACGATATATATCTAAAGGATCAAGGCCCTATTTTTAGATCTCATGGTGTTTTTTATTTGTTTTTGTACGGACACGACCGAATTATTTCAGGAAACCTCTAGCATATTCAGAGATTTCGAGTGCAATCTTCAGGAATTCAGGTGCAGGCATTATCGTAAGAAAGCTTATAGTATCTATAGGAGGCAGTAGTTGTAGAAAAGGTGACTGGGAAGTTATCGTTTTAGGTTAATTGGCTCTTTTTTGTTAATTAGTGGGTAACACTGTCCTATTTTGTGTCAAAATTAGTGTGGTGAAGATATATCTGCAATCTGCACCACGGAGCTTTGCAAGAACTAGCTTTTACTTTTGTTATACCATAGGAATCACTGGTAGGCAGGCGATAGGCATGCACTGCACTAGATGAACAGGCTACGACCCTACAATAACTGCACTCGAAAAACTATTATATCTCATGCCCGATTAAGCGAAGATTGAATACAAGATTTAAAACACCAGTGACTCGGCGACGGAGAGATCCACCACTGCAGGCCAAAACCCAGTACAGAAAACTACTTCGTACGATGGGCGGCAAAACAAAAATAGAAATTCCCTATGAATCGATCCAAATTGGACATCACCATTCTACAAGTCACCTCTACCGGGCTCATCTCAGCAAGCGCTTACCCTGCATAGGAGAAGCTAGGTCGGCAGCATTGATAAGCACGCCAAGTGCAGCGAAATGAGAGAAGTTGTATTAAACCAACGGAATCCTAGGCTATCTAATTGAAGGTTGGGTCGCTGGATAATACCCATACAAATGTAAGCGTATTATGATCAAAATACGCTACAACCCTGAACAGTACCTGGCCGTTAAAAAGTGATTTTATATATCCAATCAGAAGTCCGGATTTGGGGGACGTGACAGACAGAACAGACAAACAGACGGACATTGATTTTATTGTTTAACCCTTTAACTACCGGACATGGTAGAGGACCGAGGATACCTCTACCAGCGAGAAATAGTAGATTTGATTGGTCTAAAAACTGAATCAAGCGCTTTGAAGTGTAGCCATGACCTTGGTAGGGGTCTGTGGTGACCCCTACCAAAGCATCTCCCAGCCCCACGTTACATTGATATAAGTCAGTTAAAGGTTTCCACCTCCTGCTCACATTCGCAACAGATCGGTGTGCAGCATGGACAACACCGAAGACATGACAGCAGAATGGGATGTTGACTTCGAAGATGAGCTAGACACAAGCATGACGGACGCAAGCGGCGATGGTGTTATATCCGAAGGAGAAGAGGCCGGAGGCGAGCGTGCGCAAGTGCTTGAGTCAGAAGGAGAGGCCTCCGGTAGTCGACGCATGCCTAACAACATCGCAGAGCAATATATTGCTGCACTGAAAGACCAAAGCAGGCTTCACGTCGCGATAGCAGACCAAGTGTCTAAAGCATACGACAATAACGCGGAGTATGGCGTTTTTTCTCTCTTCTTCACGGCGGCACTCAAGGAGAGGCTCCGAAAGTGGACATCAGATGTCCTTATTAGTACCGGACATACAGCTATAACCGAGATGGAATTCAATGCCTACTTAGGACTTGAAATTGCAACTGCCATTTGTCCTATGAATGACATCGCTGACTACTGGTCTACTAGTCGCTTTCTCGGGCAAAGTGCTTTTATTGACACAATGACAAGGACAAGATTTCAACAAATTCGTGGGTCATTGACACTTCACCCCCCGCAAGACTCATCTTTTGACAAGGAGAAAGATCCACTGTGGCGCTGCCGGGGTGTTATGGAGCATTTCCAAAAGAGATTCGCTGAGTTTGCAGTTCCAGTCGGTGTGAGCAGCCTTGACGAGATGACTGTAGCAACTAAAGCAAGGACCCGGGCGAAAACATTTATTCCATCCAAGCCAGATAAGTATGGCGTTCGGTTTTACGCCGTCGTGGGGTGGGGTTCACTGTATGTGCACTCACTTTGGGATAACCCGTCGGGCAATAGGATGCCTTCAACGCCTGCTGAGCGTTATACAAATTTATTTCCTACTCTACGCACGCCGCTCTCCAATACATTGGACGCCGATGATGTATCCATCGAAGCGGACTCAGCAACAGCTATGTGGATAGCCATGACCGGGCATCAAACCAAAGCCATGCGCTCGCCAACTGGGCATAGGCTGGTGGTGTCAGATAACTTTTACACAAGACACACATTCGCTCATGCTCTGCTAAAGTATACTGACGGCGAGATGCATTTACTGGGAACGGTGAGATTAAATCTGGTGGACAAGTGGAACAAACCTGCAGTCAACGCATCCATCGAGCGAGTGGATGCAAGTGAGCGAGGAAGCTGGGAATTGGTAGCTGCAGTGGGGCTAGAACCGGGTTGGAAGGAGAAGCAGAAGAAGCATCAGGCTAGTCAGCGTCGATTGCCGAAGGCACAGCGAACCACTTACGAACCGGTTATTGTCCAAGCCGAGAAGGCTGGATACGTCATATACAAGGACAGAAAGGTTGTTATCTTTTATACCAACGACCTGAAAGCAACGCCTTCTCAACCTACTCTCCCTTCTACGTCTTCTGAGGCTGTGCTATGCTGCCATGGAACTTACCCAATTCAACGGTGGACTGAAGACCGCATGATGCACCGCCGTGTTTTCATGGCACCGACAATTATTGCAGCCTACAATCTTTGCATGAACGCGGTAGACCGAGTCGACCAACTACGCAGCACCAACCCAATCCGCCGCCGCGAAAAACGCTTGGGTATGACGATGTTTACATGGCTCATGGACATTGCAATTATCAATGCGCATACGCTAGTAAAAACTATACGACCTACAACCGGAAAAGAAATAAGTCTGCGGGAATTCAAGCGTAAGATCGCCGATGTACTCACCAGCAATGAGAAGCAAAACAAAAGCCGACGAGACTTGCAAAAGAAAAAACGTTCTCAGGAATCGCTAGATGAAATTATCGGGATGGACACATCGCTTCACATGATCACCCCGAACTCCACCGATCATAGCAAAGGTAGGCTTCTCTGTCACTTGTGCAGCCTGCGCAACATCAAGAAGAAGGCGAAATATGGATGCACAAAGTGTGAGGTCGTGTTCCACGTCGAGTGCTTCACAGCTTTTCATAACCACGCTGTTATGACAAACTCACCTCAATTGCGGAGCGCGCTGGAGGCGATTTGCCGGTCTTCAACTGATGAACCGGTGACCTTTACACGCAAAAAGAGCAATAGGACAATCACACCAGTTGAGAGGCTCAAACTTCCAGAAGAATGAATACATTACATTTGCTTACCTTTCGTGGGGAATTTGGCCAGTACTGCTTGAGTTTCCTAGCGATACAGGCAGGAATCTGGCCGCTTAGATTGCCGTCTTTTTGGTAGAGATATAGTCGCCCAAGTGTTTGCCGTAGCACTCTGTTCCTGTGTTTCCGCAGGCGTAGCTTTCCTTGCAGCCTTCCTGCAGTTAGCCATAGCTCCTCTTCACACCGCTCCCACTCGCACGGGGAGCGTCCGCACCAACAACACAGCTCGTCTCCTGTGGGTTCCATGGAACCTGTTGTAACCGTAGGAACAATTTCAGACTGAAGTGTATAATTTCACACAGGGAGTGGCACTAAGATAGAAACGTTTGGATTGGTCAAATTCTTGTTGAAATTTTAAATATACGTAATTTGACTGGATCTGGTAGGGGTCCAAATGAACCCGTAAAAACTGTTCGGTAGTTAAAGGGTTAAGTTTATAGAAATTCGTCCCAGTTCAACAGATTAATATATTCGCTACGTATAGTACAGCAAAAGCTTGGTGGCCCGCGGCCCCGGATAATTACTTTTCGCATTTCTGCATTGTCCTTTGAATGTTTCTAGATTAAAAGAAAAGGATTTCCAACTTCCAAAGTCAGAAAAACAGCTTCACTGTGACAATTTCGCGACTGGCAATAATGGCGTTAATTCAAGATGCAGAGCGGAATGATATCGTCCTTATTCGGTGGGAATCCAAAAATAGTTATTTTTTAAGAATGATTCTGACTCGGGTTTAGATTTTCCTTAATAATCATATTAGAATCCAAGCTCTAAATCCAAGGGAAAAAAACGGCTGCGGTATTTGTGCGGTTAATAAATGTAGGAGCCGAGAAGAGAGTTGCTGACAGTGACTTTCATCGAGCATTCCTGACACAGTTGCCCAGAGAGTCGAAAGAGAGGGGCCATTCATCAACTTCGCCAATCGTTTGGTGGATGTACCAAGAACTGCGCGAACAATTGTCGCGCGATGCACATCGGGAACTTCCCTTGTGAGATTCTAGTCCGACAAACGGCAAATGCACGTGCCACGCTCTTCGTTTATTAATATCTCGACCAGAGAGATAGTCACGGCCGCGTCGAGAGGCGAGTCCTCAAATGCTGCCCATACTACCGCTCGTTGGCTTCTGTGCTGAGCAAGTTCAGCTTTTACGGCGAGAAGCCACCTTGCGGCGACAGTGTATGCACAGACATCGTGACTTTTCCACGCCAAGACGAGCAGGACCATGCTCTGTCGCTCGAGTTCCGTCGCAAAACTGAGGAATGCAAACTGTTGTACTTGCAAAAGAGCACTCACAGGTTTTTGGCGACGGCGCGTGAGAAACAGGAATGCGAACTCGAGATTGAGCGGTACAGGGTTGCCGCCGAAAAACACCGAATTGATATCGAAGGACGCCGCCGCGAAATGGTGCTGAGGGCTGATGCAATTACGACTCGACACGTTCTGAAAGGCAGACGTGTTCCCAAGGACGAGATCGATCAGGTGCTGCCAATCCCGAAGGTGTGAGCGGTGACGAAAGGAGTGCTGCGGAGGATTTTTTTTTATTATCTGCAATTGCGTGCGTGTAGTATTTGTGCAGCCATTGTTAACCCGCAACTAAGTGTTTGTTCACAATTGATGCCGTCTAGTTGAACGATCTATCAAGTATCTGCTCTGTGAAGAGACTGCAAACTTGCAGACTCTTGTCAAATCCACTTCAGCTTCCTAATAAATCGACAACTTTTCGATCTAGCTCTATTGTCAAATTTGCGCTTGCAATCGCTATATTTGCATCATTGCCCGATGGCACCTCCGATGTCTTCAGCGGCGCTGGAGCAGCAGTTCCAGGCGCGTATCGCTGAGGCCAAGGAAGCAGCGCGCCTGGCTTCCATCGCGGCTGCTGCGCGCGCTCAAAACGCGTCGAATGCGCCGCCGTTCACTTCGACGCCAGCGGTCCCTGGCGTTCCATTTCGTCCGCCACCAATTCCTCGAGCTTCAAGCAGATTCGCAGCGCCTCCAGAACCTTTTGCAATGGGCAACGTCCCTCCAGACGTCAGAAATCGCATCGACCGACTCGTGGAGTTTGTGGCGCGCAATGGCGATGCGTTCGAAGCCACAGCCAAGGAACGGGAACGAGATAATCCGGACTTTGCCTTCCTGAAGCCTGGCGGGCCTTATTCGAACTATTACCAAGCGAGAAAACAGCAAATGTGCGGAGCCCAACCGCCCCAAGTAAGTCCTTCAATGGGATTTAGTCATTCGCCATCTCCGAGAGCTCCTTCCGGTTCCCCCAACGCTCCTCCACCCGTGTCGACAGACCTACTCGGCATGTCCGTCGGTGCCATGGCCAACGTGTGCAAGTTCGCGCGGGCCAGTGGCGTGCAGCCATACGAACCGATTTCTCAGGAAATTATCATGAATGTCGGAAGTTTACCCCCTGTGGAACCCGCACGACTAGAGATTCGACTGTCAGAGTTTTATCGCGATGAAGGACGATAAGACATGGTATCCCTTCTATAGTATCAATTTGTCTATTGCTTGCGTACATCTACACTAGGAAACACCAGACAATCTAGTTCGAATGTCGGCCTCCATGGCTTGACAGTTGCCATTTCTACCGCTTACAAGTACAGGAAATATCAAGATTTCGTCGTCGCTGTCTTGTACGCAGTCGTCATTTACATCATCATCCACTCGAAGACCGTAAACAAGTTTCGTGATTTCCAGTGCATCTTCGTCCTCGTGACGTCGAGTTTGGGATGGTTTTCTGCCTCTCGTGTCCATACAGAAGCTCCTACTATCCAAACGCAAACAGCTTTCCGTGGCAGCTTGAACCGCGTCAGCGACAGCGCGAGTAACTGCAGGTTTTTCGGTTGATTTTCTGCGGCTATCGATTTGTTCACTTAGTCGAAGTAATCGTGGAGATACACCCATTTTGCTCCGTGTCCTGGGAGGAAGAACGCCCAGAAGTGACATGGAATCTCGCAGTTCTTCAGTCTCTCGGCTCTGCTGACGAAATGCGTTACGCACAGACAATCTGGACGAAAGAGGGCGTGATTTCCACGAAAAGGAGTCAGCTACTGCTGCAGGAACACGTTGGGGGCATGGGTCTGCTCGACGAGCACTTTTGCATCTACGTCCTGTAGCAGAGCCGAGTTTCTGACGAGGCTTGTGACCCTGCATGGACTGCGTTCTGTCCAACACTCGCCGCTCGCAAGTCATTCGTCGAGACAAGCGACGTCCCGAGGTTATCGCTGCTAACCGCTGCTCTTCGTGCTGGATGTTAAGTTGGGAAGCTCGTCGATGCATCTGCACAAACTGTTGCCTGCGATTCTCTTGTACAGTCACAACGAACGTGTGTGAGCCTCCGCACGACACCATCGTAGCGCCAGTACCCGAGAGCGCATGGACAGGCACCGGAAGCAGAGCAACTCGACGTGTAGGCTCCAGATCCTCGTCAGGGAGTCCTAACTGGCCTTCCTCACCAAAACCCCATGCGTACAATGTGCCATCTCTACAGAGTGCCATGGAATGCCATTCTCCAAAAGAAAGCTGAGTCACCTCTGCGTCTTGCAAGACACGAACACGAGAGGGAAGGCTACGAGATCGAGTCTTGCCCAGTCCAAGTTGGCCTAACGACCCACTGCCCCACGTAAACACGTCTCCATGGACAGTAACGACACCGCTGTGGCTGCCTCCGCATGCTATGACAGTGACTGTTGTGTCTTTCAAGGCGTTGATCAGTGTTGGTACTAAATGACTCTCATGGTCTCCATGGCCTAAACGACCATCGTCTCCAATACCCCACGAGTATACGCGTCCTCTACTGAGCGCCAGTGTATGATACATCCCACAAGATAACTCGACGTCTTCAGGCGACGTTGAGTCAGAGCAAGACCCACTACCAGCCCCAGCTATCGGACCTGAAGCGCACACCTTACGGAAGAAAGAAATGTACTCGAAGCTGGTCCGATCGATGCGATCGCCCATACCAAGTTGTCCTGCGACGTTGCTACCACACGCTAGCACGTTCATCTTGGTCAGAATGAACGATTGACAGCCTCCACAAGCGATCCCGCGAACGCTGACAATCTTGTCTACTCGATACGGAGTGTCCACTGGCTGTGCAGTCTTCGTCCCCATTCCTAGTTGCCCACAAGTGTTGTCACCCCAACTGAAGACTCGACCATCAACACTAAGACATAATGTGTGGTCACTGCCACATGCCACGTACTGCACACAGGTCGATGTGAGATGAGGGACACGCTGTGGCTCTTGCGAAGACTCTAGATTGTCGTCACCCTGTCCAAGCTGTCCACTAGTCCCCAGTCCAAAGCAGTACAAGTTGGAATACACATCGATGATGGCCGAGTGAGCTTTACCACAGGAAAGTTGCAGTGGATGCAGCCATCTGCATGCAAACGGCGTTGGTGTCGTCATGTTACAGTCTCCGTCCGTACCCAGTCGACCGTCGATGGTACATCCAAAGCCGAAGAGGAAAGTAGCTTCCTTCTGCAGTACAGACACGAATAATGATGGTAGCAGTGCAGTTGAGTTGAAAACTTCATCGTACGTTTCGTGAATTTTGTGGTGAATCTGGAACGTGCGCAGCTCTGAGTCTTCTGAGCTTGTGACTGTGATCTCTCGAGTTTGTCGCCAGTCCTTGGACGTAATGACGAGACTTGAAGGAGACGCTGTGATGCCGATCTTGTTCATGATGACGCGCACGTGAATCGTGACCGCTTTACCCTTTGATGGGGGTCTCATGAGCTTCAGACGGTAGCGAATGTCGCTGCCCTGGCGTAGACGTACATACTTGGGGTAAATGCGTACAAGCTGCTGCTTCTTGGGATCCTCGAGACCAAGCAGCTCCTCCATGGTATTCGTATCGACTCGAAATGAAGCGTCAAGTGACAACATAGCGTATTTTGGGGGAAACCGTCACCATTTTTGAATTACTTGGTCTTTGCGCACTTGGACGCTATCGCCATGCTAGTCTGTCGTTAAATGCCGAAGAGTAAGTGGATCTTCCTCGGAATATTGTCGGCTCTGGAGGGTATCGCGGGTTGATCATAATTGGGTTCGTCAAATGGCTGCTAGTTCGGCGATAATTGCGCTGTTGTGTAGAGGCTGCTGCATCCGAATTCGTAGAACTCCTTGGTACCTTCCGAGGACGGCCAGACTCGTCTACCACGGTATCGCACGCAGGGCAGCGCACAGGGGAGCCATAATCTCTCGTTTGTGAGTCACGTGTAATAATTCTGCTTTGAGGACGAGCTGGCAGAAGCGAATCCTCTGTCTGCGTGGTTTTGTCGGCAAGCACGGGGAGAGTTCGAGGCTGTGGCTGTGTATTATCACCGCCGAAGGACACTCTTTTGCTCTTCCGGTTGTTGCCGGTCCTGCTTTCAGGCGTTGATGAGCTAGGCACTTCATTTGAGGTTTCGACGGCCTCAGTCACTGTACTAGACTGCGTTGGTGGCTCAGATTGCTTACATTCTTCGTCACGTCCACCAAGGAACTCTCGCACTGCATGATTCGCTACGGTCATCGCCTCTGGGCCTGTCATAACAGGCCGACGCTGGCCTGACTCGGACCCAGGCCATCCATACGAGTCCATATTGAGCGTCCGGAACACAGACGAGCCGCCAAACGCTCGCTCGGCAGCAGCACGGGCGATGCGCTTGTGTGAAAAATTTGTAGTGTTGGTGTTGTTGCTGTTGTTAGCACCGCTTTGATGGATGTAGGAGTTGCAGAGATCATCCCACAAAGTCGTTCTCTTGGCTGGAGATCGGAACCTTTTCCCACTCGACCTGCTCATTCTGTAGCGATCAGCCTGTTCCGTCGTCACTCCAGCAGCATACTGTTGTGCGCGAGATGTCGGAATGGCCGCATCACTTGCTTGAAGTCGACGACCGTGTCGGTAACGTGGACTTGAAGGCGGGTGATACGGCGAAGCAGCCTCCAATGATGTAGCATTGCGTTGTGGAACCGTAGTCGTAGCAGGAGGGTAAACTCGATCGAGAATATCTTCTCGCATCGGACTAACAGCGATGGTTCTTCCTGTCACCACTGGCTGCTCCTCCTCCGCTGATTTGTCGTCGCTGTAGACCTCAATGGCTGAGGCTTCGTCCATACCCTCATGTTCGACCTGCTCAGATTGCAGTACTGTGGTAGTCTCTGGATCACTTCCACCTAAGTTCTTATAGGGCGATCTCTCTGGAGCAGGTTGCCTGGCTTCGTTTTGTTCGCGATCTCTCGTCGGGGTCAAATGTAGAGTCCTCGCCACTTTCTGCCGGTAGAAACCAATTGCAATTAGCTCCACAGTTTCACTGCAATTGAATTTATCGCTCTGCAACGCACCTGTGGTGTCTCTGTCTGCCACGTCGGACGTGATCGTTGGTTGGACTCTTCGTTCCAGGCGAAAAAGGCCGGCGTCCTCCCGTGGCGGCCACTGGCCTTTCCAGCAGGAGTATTGGGCCTCTCCCAGTCTGGTAGACCCTCGCGATGGTCGATCTGGCGACGGTGTTGCTCACATAGTAGATCCTGGAGCAAAAAAAGATTGACGCAGATTGGTGTGAGCATTGCCAATTGAAGAGGATATCTTGCTGTAGTGAGATGCAGAGCGTGCAAAACGCACCAGTCGATTCAACTCCTTCGACACTTTGAACACACGGTTGTGGATCAAGCGGTCCGCCATCGTACGAAGCTTCAGACGCGCGGCTCCGTGGTGGAGCAACTCGAATATCAAAATGGCGCACAGCAGTTCAAACTTTTGAATAGAGTTGTTTGACTCGATTGAATTTTTTACCAGATTTGATTGGGTAAAAAGGGTGTTCAATATTTTTTCAGCAAATTTATTCGCAAACGTAAAAACAATAATTTTTCACCAGAAATCGCCTTGACACTTTTTTTTACAGACAATTCCAGTTCCTTTCAGGAACTCAGACGCCTGATGCCGCGCAGTATCAATGACCTCTTGTTCGGCCCTAGCTCCGACGAGGAAAGCGGAGGAGACTACGCCGACTACAGCGGAAGCAGCGACAGTGACGATGACGGAAGTGAGAGCGACAGCGAGATCGCACGTGAGATTGATCACCGCGCCGCGGCGTCGGTAGTCAATCTCACGTTGCCGCCCACCAATAGGCCCAACTCGTTCCAGCCCATCGCAGCCGCAGAAAACGACGACGATGAAGTGCAGATTTTATCCGCGGCGGAGGCTGCCGCAGAGGTGGCAGCTGCTGCTCGAAGGGCGTTGGAAGACCCCAATGCATCGCGCAAACGCAAGCGCCCAGTGGTAGAGACGAAACCGGAGCCGACAGAATGCACAATCTGCTGCGAGGACTGCACGATCGTAGGGCACCATCGCCTCGTGGCACTTAAGTGTGGCCATTTGTTCGGAAGGAAATGCATCGAGCGCTGGATCAGCGAGAAGCAAACGTGTCCGAACTGCAGTGCAATAGTGCGGCGCACAGACATTTGTTTATTGTTCTCAGATCACGTGGCGGTGGTGGACAATGCTGGACTACAAGAAATGACCACCAAATTCGAAGAAGAAAAGAAAAAGAGCACCAAACTGGAGAAGGAGGTAGCAGGACTCAAGAAACAATTGCAGGCGAGGGCAAAAGAGACCACGCGCCTAAATGCCGAGTTGATCAAGTTTAAGAAAGCCATCGCGGATATGCAGTGTAAGGCAGCGCAAGAGCGGCTCTCCAGTTCTGTTGCATTCAGTAGAAGTGGTTTAGCACTACCTCCCGGAGTGGCTGGTGGGAGCGCTGTGTCGCCGTCAAGACAAGCTGCAGGTCAAGTCACTATGTCGCCTGCTGTCTCCCACCCACATCCACCGTCGGAGCTTGGAAATTCTTCATTCGCTGCAGCAATACGCAAGTACAAGCCAATATTTGGCGTGCCTTTATTAGGTGCACGTGTGTTCAGTATCGCCCGGTCGTGCAGATTTCTGTGTGTTGGTGATAAAATCGCTCAAGATTCTTATGGTATATTAATGCTGAGTTCTCAAGACCCGACGCTGGGGGTTCGACTACCCGTTCACAGCTCAGACGTACGCGACATCAGCATTCACTCCTCCGAAAAGTTTGTACTCACTGTGGCATTCGATGGCAAACTGGCTATGACTAGTCTTCAAGATAAAAAGGTGGCGCTGCAGATTGTGCTTCCTTCCGGCAGGCGGCAAGGTTGGTCGTGCACCTTCAGCGACTCAGATCCCTATGCAATGTATTGCGGATTTCAAGACGGCAGTGTGGCCAAATACGACTATCGAAAGCCAAGTGCTGGTGACCAAGGCATCGTCAAAAGTTTTGCGCTCCCGCAACGGCAACCAGTGCACTCAATTAAGTTATTCAAGACTCCCGAAGGTACCGAGGGTCTAGTAGCAGCGACATTCCGCGGACTGTCAGTGTGGAGAAATGTTGCAGACGCAAATGCCGGCGATGGGTCGGTTGGAGCCGCACCTTTTTCGCAAGTTCCAAGTGATCAAGCGTGCTTTTCGCTTGCGTCGAACCAGCTACATTCCAACCAAGTGGTGGTTTCGTCACGGTCATCACCAATGAAGCACAGTGTGTTCGACTTGCGCACTGTTGGGCTTGGCAGGCTTTCGCCAAGAATGGAGGTGGTTGGGCACAAGGCACCGTCGGTCTTGTCTCGCTCAGCGATGTGGTCGGAAGTGGATGGCTCCTCGGTGGTGGCGTCGTGGTCTCATGATGTGGAGGGCGTGACGATGTGGAACGTCGCCACTCAACAAGAGGTAAGCGGTCCGAAACCCACGTTCCTGAGTGTGGCAAGCGCTGCTATGCCGGTGGTGGACATCCAACATGCCGTGGCTCAGAACAGTTGGAGCTCTGGTGCTGCGCTCTTCGGCACGATGACAGCTCGGCAGTTGTGCGTGTATGGCTCAGGTGGGTGGGCAGCTTGATCTGGTGTCTGTAGCGATGATACGAGTACATGTAGTACATGTACATGTATGGACGATGCCGTGGAGCCCGTGATGACTACATCTTGCTAATCGTAGCCCTTAAGTTTGACTTGTGCTGAGTATACCAGCACAAAAATGGTAATGTTACATGTAGCCATCCATTCGCTCAAGTGGGTACATTTAGGAGCGGGAACACAATGTAGCAACGCGTAAGTTCCCCCCCACGAAAGGAGCCCATGAGCAGCGCCACAGTTTTTAAATGCTCATGTAGGAGTGGATGGGTAGAAATGCAGTGCGCTGAAGTCATTTGACCAACGCTGTGCAAATATCTTCAACAAATTATTGACTGATACCGGACTGGTGAAGCAATGCACTACAATAGTCAAAATAAACACACCACGCGCCATATCATGCCGCTCTCACCTCGCCTCATTCACGTAGCCGCTCCATTGGCGAGCGTCTCGCCTCCACCAACCAGACGCACTGACGAGACCTCGGTCCACTTCCTTCAACTCAAAATCCATCTTGAATTACTTTGGTAGCTGATACCCCAACGTATTTAGATACTCTTTAACCTGATAATGGAAGGGTCAAATCCTTAGCTACTGTCATAGGAAAGGTACTGAGATTCTTGTGTAGTTTCCAATACTCCTATTTCTAATTAAGTAATGGTAATCCGTTAATAATTTACCACAGGTGAATATTAATTAAAATACAGTAAATTATGCTAAAACCGCGGAATTGGTCCTCCGGCGACCAAGCGACCAAAGAGAAGAAGACGCCGAGGAGCTCTCAAAAGCGGCTTCTGGGGTCTTAGAAGAGGTGCGTTGCGCGGCGCTCCCAGCTGCTGCGCGTGGAATCTGGCGGCGCCGATCAGCCCACAAGCTGTACGCGCGTGTCGTCTTCCACCTAGTATCGTTTACATTGTGATCCACCGCCCACTAAGCTGTCAATTGCGCGTGTGTTTCCATCGTATATTAGCAGGCAAGAGCGCCCCTTAGTCACTCGAATCGCAGGCCACAGCGCCCGCCCCCTGACCTTTTTTGTACGCTCCGCCCAGTACTCGGGGCGGATGAGCGGCTCGTTCAAGGCGAGTATCAGCCAGAAAGCGTTCCTGTCCCCCACCGACGTGGCCGAGCTCACAGCCGCAGCAGTAGCGGCACTACCCAGCACTTTGTCGCAGGCCAATCTGGCGCTCAAGAAGTCCACGACCAGTGCGCATCGCACCGAGAACGGGGACATTGTGCACCACCATCAAGCCACGCACCGCGGGGGTAACGCAACGCTAGTGACGTCCACGACCACAACGATCCATCACATGGGAGGAGCCGGGAAGTCCGGAGTCTCAGCCCCTGCTGGAGCCGGCTCGACTCTGACGTCACAACCGCAGTTCTCGCTGCACTCGCATGGCCATCATCATCATCATCACCACCTCTCGCACGGAGCGAGTCTGCTGGCCAATGGCAGTCTTAGCGGACTGGCGAATGGCAGTCTAGGAGGAAGTGGCCTCGATGGATCCGTCGGATCTGGAGCTCTGGCGGCATCGCCCACGTTCCAGGGAGATCTGAACCAGATCGACGCTGGTTTGAACTCGGAGGACGCCGATGTCCAACTTGAAGCGGCCAAGAAGCTGCGTGTATTGCTCTCGTCGGAGCGCGATCTGCTAATTCGTCAGGTAACGTGTAGTCGTGTGTGTATGTAGTGATATAAACGCCATACTGACTTATTGATGCTACGGCTGGGCGTAAAGATGCTGGAGAAGAACTGGACCCCACGTCTTATCAAATGGCTGCGGCTGCGAGACCGACCAACTCTGCAAGTTGAAGCGCTGTGGGCACTCACTAACATCGCTGCAGGAGCTACCGACAACACGTCGGTATTGCTACAGAACGGTGTGATTCCCACGCTCGTTTCGTTGTTGGACTCGTCCAATGAAGAGGTAGGACTGATGGTCTCCTATCGGCACGTAGTGAGCTGGTTTGCTGAGCATTTTGGTGTACGTTGGGGTTCTCGAGTAGGTGTTGGAGCAGTCGGTGTGGGTTCTAGGTAACTTGGCTGGAGAAGGAGCTGCGACGAGGGACCTCGTGCTGAGCGCTGGTGCATTGACTCCGCTGGTGAACAACCTGAAGAAGACCTCATGGGACCGACTGTCGCTGCTTCGTATCTTGACGTGGACTATCAGCAACTTGTGTGACGGACAGCCGCGACCAGTGTTTGACATTGGACTCATCCTGCCGTATCTGGCCAAGATGCTCACCAGCACAGACACAGAGATCTTGAGTCACGTGTGCTGGGCATTCTCGCACCTGTGCGATGGACCGAGCACTCACATTCAGGCTGTGGTGGACTCCGATGTGTGCTTTCGACTCGTGGAGCTGCTGAGTCACTCGTCTTGGCGAGTCACGAAGCCAGCTCTACGTGCGATTGGGAACATTGTGTGCGCTGAAGACGACCACGACTACACCCAGCACATCATTGAGTGTGGCGCCGTGCCTTCGTTGCGGAGACTGATCGCTCATTCGAATCGCGAGATCCAGAAGGAAGCTTGCTGGACGCTGTCGAACATCGCTGCCGGTACTGTTGATCAGATCCAGTGTGTGCTTGACTCGGGCTGTATCCCGTCTTTGATGGGACTGGCGGCGTCGGACGCGACAGATGCAGAGGTCAAGAGTGAAGCGTGCTGGGTCGTGCTCAACGCCACATCATGCGGATCGGATAGTCAAATTGAGTACCTCGTGAATCAGGGCTGTATTCAGATCCTAGGCAATCTCTTGGAGGAAACGAGTATGGTTATGATGGCGCTAGAAGGCTTGGAACGCATTCTTCAGGTCGGTGAGTTGGAGGCAAAGCGTACGGACTCGCCCAATCCGTATGCAAGTCTGATGGCTTCTGCCAACATAGAGACGTTGGTGTCACACAAGTCGGCGACTGTGGCGAAGCGTGCGTCGCGTATCTGGCAGCAGCACTTCGTCACGTGCGCCATTTGCCTCGGTCCATTCTCGAAACACTCAAATGACACATTCTTCTGCGCCGAGTGCAAGTGCAACGTGTGCAAGAACTGCGACTGCACGGTGTTTCATCTTAAATACCAGGAGAGTCTCTGGAAGGAGGAGACGGAGAAGGAGACGAATGAAAAGCAGGCGCGTCAGGCCTCAAAGCGTAGCAAGCGTCAGAAGAAACGTCAGCGTACGAAGGAGCGCAAAGCAGCTCTTCTTCGAGTGCAGAAGACAGCTCCGAGCAGCAATGGGAAGGGGTCGAAGCAAAACCAGCAGCGAAAGGGACAGCAGCAACAGGACAACTCGTCGTCAGATGAAGCGTCTTCTACAAAGTCTGGAGGTGGAGGAGGAGGCAGTCGACGTCGACGGCACGATGCGGACGACTCGGCCTCAGAGAACGGTTCTAATGGGTCGAATGAAGAGGTAGAAGACGGAGGTGCGACTACCCCTGGCGATGAAGAAGAAGCTGCGACTGAAGAGGAAGTTAATGTCGATGTGCTAGACGAGATGGTGAACGCGAACGACAAACTGGTGTCGTACTTGCTGGAGACGGGATCGATCATGGCGCTTGCTGAGCGCTTGGACTTGGAGGACGACAGCACGTGGATTGTGGCGGAGAAGGATAGAACTGCTATCCACGCCTAAGTGTACACACTGTTGACACACAAACGCTGGTCGGTGGAGTTGAAGCAACGTGACGAGCTGCACGACGGCTTATATGAAGAAAAGTGGACATTAAGGATCACGACGGGTAGCTTTGACACCGTTGGCTAGCAGATCATGTGCAGACCAGGGCGTTTTGTATATGCAATGCAAAGAGAAGGGGTATGGCAAAAACACACAAGCTGGAAGTGAAAATGAGAAAAAGCGCCCTACCAGCACTAGGGTGAAGTGATTAAAACAAAAAAAACAAAGAAAAAAAACAACCTTGAGTATCATCATGGATAGCAACATTCGTCGGGTAGGAGTAATACATGAAGCGAGACACGATAATAGAGACGATCGAATGAAAAACCCGCAAAATAATCAACTCTTACGTCCCTCGATTCACGTTAGCAGCTACTTCCGGTACAAGACGCAGCGTGCCAACCCGATCCAGCCGACCTGCTGGCTTCCTCTCCTCACAGACACATCGAGATCCAGAGCGAGTCGAAAGCGAGTGCGCGTGCGAGCTGAAAAAAATCTGAGCGGGCGTGTTCAACTTGCTTTCTTGCTTGGTTCCTTCTCCGTCCCTGAGTCGTCGAATATCTAGTTGCGACTATCGAATCATGGGGTGATCGATAGCCAGCGCCTGAGTGTGTCCACGAATAAACTTACTCCGTCTTCTTGCGGTACTGGCAGCCGTCAGTGAGGCGAGCCTTACCGCCCGTAGGCTGGCACAGCATCACCGAGCACGAGCCGCACAGCACGACCGTCTGGGCGTGGCTGAACACCGTGGTGATGTTGAAGCAGCCCGGGCACTTGACATCCATGAAGTACGAGTTGGGGGCCTGTACGAGACGACGAAGCTTGTGCTTGGAGGCCTCCTCGGCGGCGGAAGGGTGCAGAAGGTCACGAGGCTGATAGAAATTGGGCACAATAATTCGTTAGATTCTGCTTCTTTGGGTTGATTCCATATAATAGTACTATAGCAGCCGCTACAGGCAACGGAGAACTATTGAGAAGGCTGTTGCAGCTGGAGTGAGCGCTGTAGATTGAGAGAGCTAAGGCCTTATTTTAAGGCTGCGTAAGTCCCAATTGTTTCCTGTATTGTGTTGCTGCTGTTCGAGATCCACTTTTCCGGTGTTGATATAGCTGCTGCATTTCCTGTCTCTCTCCATTTTTCGCTGCTTTCACTCATTCTCTTATGCTCTCGTTGACCTGTAGCTGCTTCCATTGACGCAGTAGCTTACCATGATTGCGCTGTTCTGGGTCACGAAGAAAGGAAGAAGGCGAGTGGTTTTGGCTTAGCTCAATCGCACTGATGAGGCTCAAAGCGGCGATATGAATGGTGGGGAGGTCTGCGGTCCTCGCTTTGCGGTTACGGTTCTGGCTCGCGGTCCATTTGGTGTGCACCACGTCATATAAGAAATGCATTCACTCAAAATGATACTATTTTGGTCAGACTAACACGCCACAAATATTAAAGCATACTCTTTTTTAGACCAAATATTTGGTCATTTGAGAATCGCAAATCACAAAAGTAAAAATGAGATCACAAAAATTGGCTACAAACAAAATATGTGACGCTCAATTATAGACATCATTTGAGTAGACATCATTTGAGCACCATGAGGTTCGGCGTCGCTCGAGAGGAGGAGACCGCGCCGCCGGCACCGACCGACGAAACCAACACGTATTGGGACGTGCAAGAGGTACAAAAGCCTCGCGTAGATGTGATTCCAGACCGCCGGCGGTTCCGTGCACCGAGCTCGGACAGTTCTACGACGTCCAGTGACGAAGAAGACGCGTCAGACTCGGACTCTGCGTTGACGGACAGCGACCGCGGTGTTAATGCGGCGACATCGGCTCTGGGTACATTGCATCTGACAACCAAGTCACGCCAAGAATTGCTGAAGCAAATAGAGCGCGCATGCGAGCGCAAGGCGGTGCAGGCGGTGACGGGTAGTGGCGCGTACCAGGCTCTGTGCAAGACGCTGCAGCGCGCACGGCAGGACGCGGAGGCTCAGCTCCGCCAGATAGATGCAGACTTAGGCAGATCCGAAGAAGAGATGCTGAGGAAGCAACAGCAGCTGGAGAGGGAGGCGGTGACCAAACTGCAGCAGATTCGGTCGAAGGAGCGATCAGTCATTGAGAGTGTGGAGAAGGAACTGCGAGCCTTTCAGCAGGCGCGAGACGATGAGCGACGACGAGAAGAGGAGGAAAGGGAGCGTGAAGAAGCTGCGGCACGTCGTGAAGAAGAAGCTCGCGAGAAGGTGAAGTCATGGAGCTGTTGACGTTGATGCAACAATGAACTCTAAGGTAAATATTTGTGCAGGCATTGCAGGAGGCCAAGGAGAAAGAGGAAGCTGCAGAGGCGCAGCGTAAGGCAGAGCAAGAGGTGGAGAAAGCGCAAGCGAAGGCGAAGGCCCAGGCGGCTGAACGCGCAGCGGAGAAGAAGAAACAGGAGGAGGAGCGTCAAAAGGAACAAGCCGCGACGAAAGCCGCTGAGAAAGAAGCCGCAGCTCAAGCCAAGAAGTACGTCGTGGAAGGACATGAACGTATTAAGCGTCTGGAAGAGCTTCAACGACACACCAACGACATCCTGGATAGCCCTGATCCGGCCGTGAAGAAGATCCGAATGCAGATCAGGCGTGAGGTAAGTACTTGCTGTGTCTTTTTAGTCAAGACACTTGGGTTATATTGACGTGGCAATGCGTTGATTGTTAGGCTGGTGTGTGTAACCAAATTGCTGCGGCTCCCTCTGCTATCAAGAACGTCGTCAGCAAGATTCAGCAGCTACTCCAGGTAAGCAATGGCCGTACAGTGTAATACTACGACCGTGGACTGACGATGTACGGCGCAGATGGCCAAGTCCTCAGGCGACGCGTACTTCAAATTCGCGCTCGACATGGTGGCGTCAAACTTGTCCAAGCAGGTAGAAGGTCGTGCAGACTACAAGTACGTTGACCTGGTGCTGTGTCTTCCTGTTCTGAGAGCTTTTATCTAACCAGCGAACTGTGCTATGTCATCGCTGCAGATCCTGCTACCCTATTGCGCACGTGATCAAGATGAGTTGTGTGCAAACCCCGGAGCTGACGGACGTCATGCTGGGGTACTTCCACAAGACCTGCGTCTTCACAATCCCGGACAACCCGGAGAAACACGCGTCACAGTCGATCGCCGAGTATAAAATATCTGTGGGATTTCACAAGGCAGTGGGCGAAAGCTCAGATCCAGATGGTCTGGAGCACGTCACGGAGTACACAAGACGCATGACGATGGTTTCTGCTGTGCTGGCTGCTGTTCAACAGACCACTCCATGGGATGGAAGTCCGTCTCCGCCTGGTCTGGAGCTTGGAGATTGCTGGGCTTGGCTGGCTCGGTTGGTGAACGAGCCGCCGCACCTCATGACTGGCGCTTTGACTCTGACCATCCTGGAAGTGGCAGGCTTCGAGTTGCTACGTAACTACAAGAAGCAGTTCCACAAACTGCTGGTTCTAATTGCTCGTGACGTGTGTCCGCGACTCAGCAAGAACGCCAAGACTGGAGCTGCCAACGCTGCTGGCCAACTCGAGATGTTTGTGAGCCAGTACCAAGCTAATCGCTGCATGCTCAACGAGCCTGATGGACGAAAACTTGAGGAGACGAAGATCTCAGAGGATGATGAAGAAAGAACTGATCGTGATGACTACGGAGGTGGCGGTGGCTACTATGGTGGTCGTGGAGGAGGCCGAGGTGGTGGACGTGGAGGTCGGGGCCGCGGTGGTGGACGGAGGCGTTAAAATACAATGAGAACAGTCGAGTGTCAGTCCATTTATTTCATGATTCACTCACTTACTGACAGTCTGGTTGGGTTGTTTTACTTCTGGCCGAGCGTGGGCATCACAGCGCTGTAGCGGGTCTTCTCGTTGTAGTCCCACAGCGACGTGACCGTCTTGATCTGCGTGTAGAAGTTGATACCAGCCTTGCCGTAGAAGTTCAGGTCGCCACGGATCGATGCACGCGAGCCAGTGAACGAGAACATGGGCAGAGGGACGGGGATCGGCACGTTGATACCGACCTGACCCACATCGATTTCGTGTTGGAACTTGCGAGCGGCAGCACCCGAAGACGTGAAGATCGAAGTGCCGTTGCCGTACGGGTTGCGGTTGATGAGCTCGATCGCTTCTTCCAGCGTGTCTACGGACGTGCAGACCAGTACAGGAGCGAAGATCTCTTCCACGTACGCAGGGTTGTCAGTGCCCACGTTGTTCAGCACAGTAGGGCCCACAAAGTTACCGTTCGGGTACTTGGGAACCTTGACGTTGCGTCCATCTAGTAGCAGCTCAGCTCCATTGTCCACACCCTCTTGGATCAGACGCTCTGCTCGCTCCTTCGCCGCCACTGTGATCAGAGGACCGACATCAGTTCCAGGCTCCAGGCCGCCGTTCACCTTCATTTCCTTGGCCTTCTGTACGATGTCGTGCACCCATTCCTTGGACTTGCCGACAAACACCACGACTGACAGAGCCATGCATCGTTGACCAGCAGCTCCGAACGCAGCGCCAGCAAGAGCGCCAACAGCCTGCTCCTTGTCGCAATCAGGCATAATGACAGCGTGGTTCTTGGCTCCCAGATTGGCCTGCACACGCTTGCCGTTAGCGCTGCCACGAGAGTGAATGTACTCTCCAGCCTGATTGCCGCCCACAAACGAAATGGCCTTGATCTCCGGAGCATCGCAGATGAAGTTGACAGTGTCCTGAAGGGGAGCATGCAACGATTAGCGACTACTGAAATGCCTCAGCGTTCATATACGCGTCTTACATGAGCACCGTGAATGATGTTGAGAACTCCGTCCGGAAGACCCGCTTCTTGAGCCAGACGAGCAAGAATCTGCATCAAAGAAGAGTTAGAACTGAAGTCTATACAATAAACAACTTGCTGCTTACCATTGTGGCACCAGGGTCCTTCTCCGAAGGCTTGAGTACATACGTGTTACCGGTCACGGTGCCGGTGGGGAACATCCAGAGCGGAATCATGGCTGGGAAGTTGAACGGACAGATACCAGCACACACTCCCAGCGGCTGCTTGTACGAGTACGTGTCCAGGGACGTGGCCAGGTTCTCAGCCGTCTCGCCCATCATGAGCGTAGCAGCTCCACACGTGTGCTCCACAACTTCCAAACCACGGAAGACGTCGCCACGAGCGTCAGCGAGGGTCTTGCCCTGTTCGTTAGTGATGGACAAGGCGAGCTCCTCTGTGTGCTCGCGAATCAGGTGCTGCAGCTTGAGCATGACGCGCTGACGGTGCTGTACGCCCACCTCCTTCCACGTCTTGTAGGCACGAGCAGCAGCTTCCGTGGCTTGGCGCATCTCATCCTGCGTGGCCTCCGGGACCTGGCAGATCACCTCGTTCGTCGCCTGTACAGGTAGCAATACTGTTAGAACAGTGCAGCAGATCGGAGGCGCATCCCCTGCGGTCACGTAGGTAGATGTACCGGGTTGCGAAGGTCGATCCACTTGTCAGTCTTGGACTGCACGAACTTGCCATCGATGAACAGCGGTACACGCTCCTGTAGAAGATAGCGTGGTTAGTTACATGATGACGAAGGATGAAGAGGCTCCACACGCACCACAGAGGACGTGGAGAAAGCGCGCGCGGGGCGGCTGGCAATGACAGAGCGGGACACACGGTGCAACATGATAACGGGCACAGAGGTTCGATCAACGCGGCGCAAAAGGGAGAATGGGCAGACCGCAGCGGTCATCAGGACGGTAATTCGCTGCATCATGCTCGATGTTTTGACGCGTACTTCAACATATCCTAATTGGACAACTTGGTCTTTTTTATATAACAGTAGTTGCTAATTTAGGGTGTTATCGTAAAGCTTTGCTACACCAAGCATCCTGACATCATCAGTGCTATGAGCCATGACTCATGACCATGGCAGGCATAACATTTTGCGCACCGTTGGAGTATACGTAGAAGGAGTTCACTCGAGAGGTGTATCCTCAGTGCGTGGTTGAGGAAAGTGGCGCTAGCTCCTCCCATCAAGCTTTGTAGTACAAAGTTTGTATTGTGCTTTCGACTTAAAATTTCCGTGCGCGGTTCTTCGAATCAATCGCCCAGCAATCGCGCAACCTTTGCACTAGCATATTATATGCTGATAGATAGGCACATTTGTTGCACTTGCACCAGTTCGACTTCTGCTGGGAGAGGATGGCTGCAGCCACGGATGGAGGGAGCTCTGCTGCAGCAAGTCCAGCCCCTCCATATATTCAAGGCGCTGGAGCTACAGAGTCTCCACTATCACCATCAACCCATCAACTCCCCACACGTTCATCACCAACCTGTCCACGCCCTGCACGAAGGACGCCACCCTCATCTTCATCATCATCGGCGCGGGTTTCTCCGTATCCATTGCGGGTGCGCACACCTCCACAAACAGCTTCAACTCCACAAGCTTCCAGAGGCCACCGACCGCGTGTCTCCATCGACGATTTACCTGATGAAGGTGATCAGCACTTCTTGCGCTTGGTTGTGGAACCTATTGTCAAGTCTACTGTTGGGCAGCGGGATGCTACGGGCAGACATCTCGAGATTTTTGCTGCAAGTGGTGCATCGTTCGCTGACATAATGCACAAGCTATGGGAGAAGTTTAGTGGTAACATCAAGGGGCAGGCTGTGAAGACAGATGACACTTGGTCACTTGAGACGCCAACGGAAGCTTCATGGAGCAGTGTCATGCAGCTCAAATCCAACGGCCGAATCGCTTCAGCAACGAAGACGCCAGAGCTTTGGAATAAGTGGATCGTTGATCAGAAAAACAATCCGGTGACACTGTCGATCTACGAATACGGTCAGGCGGTCTCCAACGCACGTCTTTTAGAGGAGTTTTTGCAGGCTTGCATTCGACCACAGAATACTGATCGATCCGGAGCTGCTGCAGAAAATGTTATGCGCGATATGATAATGCAGCTTCAAGAAATCTGGGGAAATACGTACCAAGCGAGCGCAGTAACTTGGAGAATGTGGGCGAATGACATTATGCGCAATCTGGATCGTTCGACCAGGGCAAGAGCTGTCTTCGACGCCCCACCAACCCGATTGGAGCGCTATCTAGGCCCGTCTGATGGACTAGTTCACGAGCATTTGACGCGTCTCACCAGATCGACTCGTGTAGCACTTGACACTGTGAACTTTGCGCTTGCTGATAACGCCGAGCTTACGAGAGACTGGGAAGCATTTGGACGCCGACTAGAATGCCACAAGCGGGCATTAGAGGCGCGAAAAGAAACTCTTGAGGGATATCACGCTGATGTTCAAATGGGAGTAAATCGTTGCTGCTTGACTCGCTATAATGCCGCTGAAACGACCGCTTCATGAATCCAAACATAAACTCAATGGGATTGAAAAATGGGCAGTAAGCTGGAAGAAATATAGGAATGATTCCAACGCTGCGTAAGAAGTGAATGATTTCGGGATCTCGATGAATGGATGCGCCGTCCAAAAATCCAAACGGAGTTGGAGCCAGGATACTGGCGTACGTGTCCACGCGCCGAGTACGCAAAGTCGCGGCAGCATTGAAAGAACTGAACACGATCAAATGTGCCTTCCGTGTTGTAGTAATCTATGATGCCGGTCACTCCCAAAAATGCTAGTATTGTGACTCGTGGTTTGCGCTGAAAATCACCTCGAATCGCAACTTTCTGACCTCTTAACGAATAACCTCGCTTCCGAATCATTCCACGGTTATCAAACGATACTTCGTCAAGAAAGATAATGTTGCTGTGGAACCAGTTAATATGGCTGAGCTCGTCAACAAACCGGAACACATCCTGTTATTTGATATGCATAGCTCGCCTCTCTAGAACCTTTCGGGTAAGTCCACCATCGTGAATAATTTGCCACACGGTCGAAACTGAGATGCTCACTTGATACGCGCGAACAAAAGCGTCTCGAGCTTCATCCAAGTAAGCTAATGGGTGTTCAGCGTAGAAGTCACACAACCATTTCCTATGAGCCACCGTAAATTTTCTTGTCGCTCTGGAGTCAACCCGCTGGTACGTCCCAGTCCACTCGTAGACGTGAATCCACTTGCCAATAGTTTTCACTGTCTTATGGTAGATGTGTGCAAGCTGCGCACGCGAGTATCCAAGGCAATAAAACCCGTAAAGACAGTGAAACACTGTATTCGGATGAGCATGCTGTCGAGTCACGGCTTCTTCCATCGTGTTGCTGAAGGACAGCAAGTGTGTAGCGAAAAAACCTGTAGCACACACAAGCTGGAGTACGTTATATTGCCTTAGGATCTGCAAGCTGTGCACACAAACCTGTGCGAGAGGCAGCGGCAACTTGCCGCCGCAGCCGGCAAGCTCTGCTCTGGAAGCGGTGATAAAAAATATTTTGACCAATCAGGTCAGTCTGTTGATTCGTGTTGGATTTAGACAATCCCCAGAAAATTGTAAATTTGACTCGAAATGACAATACCGCCGACAAGTTTGTAGCGCTGACAAGTTGAAGCGAATGTACCGTAGTGACTCTGTTAATTTCGATCTCGTACTTAGTTCGAGCAGCGTTAAAAGCACCAGCCACACATTATTGCCGGCAAGATGAAGCGGTTGCTATCGCTCGGCGCGCGGACGCCTCGTCGGGCCTCCGTGCCACTTCATCGCCATCTGTTCACATCAGAAACTCCTGCTGTGCCCAAGTCAGAGCGTGATCGCGAATTCCTGGCTGCATTGCAGGTTTTCTACCGTTTAGAGGGTCATTTCACCGTTCCGTTCGAGTTCGTGGTGCCCACTCCTCCTTCAGACGTCGATGTCGAGAGTTTCCCGTGGCCCAAGAAGACATGGGGCATGGATCTAGGCAATCGACTCCGTCTCTTCACACGTGGGCGTTGTAGTCCCTTTAAATGTGCGTTGCTACGTACTGTCGGCTTCCCGTTTGATGACTGGAAGACGTACGTGTGGGAAATGCAGATCATCCCGTCGCTCAAGGTTTTCCAGGAACAGGAGGGTCATCTTTTCGTACGTCAAAGCTTCCAGGTGCCAGTGGGTGACGACAGGTGGCCACGTGCAGCATGGGGCGTCAAACTCGGCTCACAATGTCAATTAATCCGTCGTGACGCTGAGGATGGTCTCTCGGAGCAACGCAAGCAGCAGCTAGACGCCATGGGTTTCGTCTGGAGTGACGCGCAATGGAAGTGGAAGATGCAGTTCCTCACAGCCATGAAGCACTACAGGAATCTCTATGGACACTGCGCAGTACACCACACCTTCAAGGTGCCTACAAACGACCCATTCTGGCCCGAGGTGAACTGGGGATACAGGCTCGGACATGCCGTAGCCAAGGTTAAAGCCAATTTGGAGGAACACGCCATGACACCTCGAGCTATGGCGGATCTTAGAGAACTAAACTTCTTCGAGGACGGACTGTCGCGTGATGTCTGGCGGGAAGCCTTGATGCCGAGCTTGGAGCTCTATCCGAGTCTCTTTGGCGACACATTCATTCCGCAAGACTTTGTAGTGCCCAGTGAAGCTCCATGGCCTGAACGTGCGTGGGGCATGAAGCTCGGATACATCGTGGAGACCATCAACTCTAGACGCATCTTTAAAGACGAGATCCAGAATGACAAACAGAAGCTCAAGGAACTCGGTTACGCGTGGGAATCGCTCTTCGGGAAATGGGCCAAGGAGCTGCTACCAGCGTTACGATTATACAAAGCCAAGTATCATCATTGTGACGTGCCGTCGTGGTGGGTTGTGCCTTCGAACGACGAGTCCTGGCCCAAGGCGCTGCGTGGGTATCACCTGGGCAAGCAGGTGGTTCGAGTTCGACGCAATGGACGCGGCAGTACCGATGTGGCTGATGTTCTGTCCGAATTGGAGGCTCTCGGCTTCAAGTTTAACGCATTTGAGAGTTATTTCGTCGACCGTGTACTGCCGGCGTTAGAAGTGTACGCGGAGATCTACGGCGACACTCATGTGCCTCAAGGTTTCATCGTGCCATCCGAGAGCACATGGCCGCGCCCTTCGTGGGGGACGAAGCTTGGTCACACTGTACGCAACATACGCAATCGGCATCAGCACGCGCAACAAGTAGAAATATATCGCGATCGACTGGAAGAACTCGGCTTCGTGTGGAGCATTTACAAGTCCACAGCTGCTACGAAGCGCGACATTGTGGACCCCAGTGTGGAAATCTACAAGGAAATCAACGGCGAAGACGCTGAAGTACCGAGGAATTTCACTGTGCCTGCAGACGATTCGCGTTACCCCGAAGTAGCGAAGAACTTTGAGCTGGGCGCATGGATCTCTCAGTACAACAAGCGCAGCACTGGGTTACTCCCGTTCCAGACTCAAGAAGGCAAGAAGAAAGCGATTGCAGCCAATGACAAGCGTCATGCGCAGGCCAGAGCTCAAGGAAAACTTACGACTCATGCTGAGCAGTACTGGAAGGATGTATTGTTGTCTTCTTTCCTAGCTTATGCGAAGCTACATGGCAGTTGTGAAGACATGGACGGCAGCTTTATTGTACCAAACGAGGAGCCGTATCCGCAGTCCGCCTGGGGTCTTAATCTCGGTCTTCGTCTGCGTCATGTACGCCACGGCGTCCGCTACGCGAGGGAAATCGCCAAATACAGGGACGAACTACTCGAGATTGGTGTACTACGTGATGGAGACGGCATCCCGATGGAACTGAATGACGACGAGTACACTGAAGATGACGAGGACTTTGAGGAAGACGATGATTTTGAAGAAGAGTATGATGATCAAGAAGACTTTGATTATGAGGATGAAGACGATGACAGCGACGAGGACGAGCAGCGCAGAAAAGCACACCTCAACTAGTGCCAACTATCAAGACGTCAAGATGTCATGTGATGGTGCAATGCTGTTAGGAGTTTTGAGAGAAACGAATATATTGTGTTCAAGCGCCTCAAGACCCGACGTACGCACTATTCTACACTGTACACGCTCCTCCTATGGGGATCAGAGAGTCATCAACGACAAAATACTAATTACATGTCCACAGGACGCCGCCTGGAGTCGACAAGCTGTGGCATACTTTGTGTTCTCTGCGCGGACAAGATGCCTTCAATCCGGTCAACCGTCTGCTCAATGGAGCTGATTCGCGACGAGTGTTGAGTCAACGTCGCCAACAGCGTATCGTGTTGCTGAGCCAGGAGCTGCTGGGTGGATGTGATGCGGTGGAAGAGCTCGATGCAGGACGAGTCAAGACTCTGAAGCTGAGCGGGGGCTGCTTGTTGAGCAACTGCGATGTTTCCAGGCTCTGCAGACACCAGATCAGTGATGCAGAGCTTCGAGTTGGTCGTGTTGGAAGCCTTGGACGATGTCAGCTTGACGTTTGGATCCAGAAGTTGATACCGCGGTTGTGAGTTCGGAGCCGAGGACGGAGTCTTCGGTCCTGAACGACGCAAACTGCCTCGCTTACTACTGCGTACACTGCCGTTCGATGACACACTGGAAGCGTTGGAACGAGGCTGCGTAATCCGGAAGTCTCCGTCCTCAATCTCCTCCGGAACACTCTGAAGCGAAGCAGCACGAATCTCTGGGAAAGAAGGCATCGATTCCCGGCGCTTGTGACGCTTCTGCTTCATTGCAGGCGGGACAGGCACAGAGCCTTCGCCTATCAGCAGTTTTTCAGCTGCTGAAGACGCGTAAGAGAGTACTTCCATCGATCGAAGTGGCAACTTCTGCTTCGGCTTTGGGTCCATGACAAACACCGAACCGATGACGATCCCCGTGCTGGGGTCACAGATCGGCGTCGTAGCGTAGAAGCGGATGTTAGCAGAGCCTGTAACCAAAGGATTCTGGTTAAATCGAGGGTCCTTGGTCGCGTCCATGACGATCGTAGGCAGCGGAGTCTGCAGCAATTGAGAACAGAAGGCGATTTCTCGAGGTAACTCCGCCTGTGCGATACCGTAACGAGCCTTGTACCATTGACGCGTCTGATCCATAAATGCCACTGCAGCTACGTTGCATTCGAGAACTTGTCGAACGAGTTCACATACAGCATCGTACTCTTTCTCTGGCTCTGTATCTAGTACTTTGAACTGCGTGAGTATTTCGTGTCTGCGAGCTTCGTAGATCTCGAACTGTTCGTGCTCCGGAAGAAACTCAATCATGTCTGTAGCGGGGATAATTGGCTGTCCTCGGCGACTTCCCCTTTGACTAGCAGGGATCGTGGGTCCGCCGCTGCCTCCAAGACTGCTGGTATCACTCGCGTCACTATCTGCGTCGCTCCAGTTATCACAACCCGAGAAATCGGAGAACCGACTGCAGAATGATGTGCTGGTACTGGTTGTCTGTAAACTGTCTCGATGTGTCTTTTTCCCTTCCGGTTTGCACGTTTCAAGGGCGATTTCTTGTGTTTCTTCTTCTTCTTCGTTTGATTCAGACTGTTCCATGACTGGAGCACTGGCGTTGATGTTCTCGCTCTCAGCTAGCAGCATGGCCTTGTCGATGCAGTCGAAGCACAGACGCACCGTGACTTCCAATGTCGGGGTCACACGCACTCGTCGTCGTCTGTAGCAGTTGGAGCACACGATCTCGCCACAAGAGCGACAATGACGTTTGATCGAAAACGGACGGAACTTGCGCGCGCAGTAGAAGCAGTTGGGACGCTCCTCCATCTTGACCCAGTTCTCCTTGCCTAGAAGACGTACAGAAGACAAGGTGGACTTGTCGTTCATGATGGTCTGCAGTCGCTCCTCCTCATTCACGTGGTTCGCTGACAGGCCTCGTGGACGACGAGTACGAGCTGCCATTGCGAGTCTCAAGCAATCGAGTGGTATGACGATAAAAATACTTGACCGAGGTCAAGTGAAGAAATGAACAGTGCGGAGTTCTGACCGCCGTCGCAACCGGACTGGCGGACGCGAAAGAGAGCGTTTTACCAAGTGGTGACCACAGTCGTCACATGGACTGCCACTGTCGTCTCGGATGACCAGCGCTCGAGAGTATCCGGAGCAAACGTGGAGGTTTGGTTGCTGTTCTTTGTCAGGTGGAAGCCCCCACATGGCCGAGTTGTGGGCATCGAGAGCGGGCAGCGTCGCTGTTCATCCAACGATGGTACCTTCTGGTTGTCGACACCTATGCCATCGCTTCGCCATACTAAAAAGAGGAGCTGATTGTTGCCTCGTATCAAAAATATTGGAGCGGCATTTTTACAAGTCGGGATTGACGCCTGTTCAATTGACATGGCTACAAACTAGTCAGAATTCAATATAGAAATTTGTATTGCAACGGGTAGTCAGCATCTGCGACGTGTGCAATGCCACATGGGCTAACATGCGGTGGATGAAGGGCAACCCAGCGTAGCAGCAGGGCCCCGCCCCAGTATCCACTGCTGCATGCAAAGGCTCAAGTGCTATCGTAACTCGGATCGTGCTTGACTCGCCACAAAAAGACACTCTCATCTGCTCTCGAAGAAGCAGCCACAAAAGAAGAAATGTTTGACTAGAGCACACGCAGCTACATGCAGTCAACCTCACGGCACAATTTTTAAGCTAAGAGCTTGCGTTCAATGCAAGGCACAGCTAAATATCGTAGTATAAAAATGCACTTCATCGTCCGTAGGGACGTCGGAAGTTGCGTAGAACAACGTTCCGACGATCGTGTCTTGCATTGCTTGAAGCTGCACCCGTTCGCATTGACGTCTTTGACTGCCCCGTGCGTCGAGAACGGACGCAACAGATTGCAGTGGTATGGGAGACGAGTCGTCGCTCGATTGCAAGCTTCACATCAAAAATCCAAAGCTCCATCCGAGGATCGTTGTCCCAGGAGCGTATGGTGACAGCAACTAAGGCTCATTGCGTGGTGGTAGCATCTCATTGCCGTTGATCCCTTGCTTTATTCGTGCAATGTGGCATGGATGAGCTTGGAATGTCATGTGGCCTGATGCTCACAAGACAATGGCAGACTTTGGCCGATGAGCAGCGTCAAAGACCATCTGCTCACGCCGCCCACATGCTCAGAGTATTCGCGCAGCGTGGCGCTGTTTTGTAGACGAATAGCGGGTGCCCCGCGACGGACGTTATTGGTGATTAGAATTTGATGATCAACTGGTACTCCAGTTCGATCTTCAAGCTGGTATTTCAAATGCAGCACTGAATCATCTGGTTGAAGGCGGAAATCCAGACAAGCAAGTTTTTTCATCGTCTGCACCTGCTGGTCTCCGATCTTCTCGCTCTCGCCTGTTGCCCGCAGATGCAAACATTTAACACTGATAGTGACGGTTTCTTCACTGTTGTCGTTAGTTTTGAATGCTTGACATTCTCTGGTCTCGTTATCTGAGACCAGCGTAAGGTCAGCTGGAGCTATTGTGGTGCCATTGTTATCATCGGAACTCTTGCTTCTACCGAGATTTGGCTTTTGATGAGCTAGTAGTAGCAATTTCTGATCAACGAGCTGCTGCTCGAGTACTTGGATGCGTTGTCGCTGTCGATCGACAAGCACATCAGCGCGACTTTTGCTGGTCTTGATGAGTTGTTCTGGAGCTTGGTTCATTACGGGATGTGGCTTCAGCTTCGCAGTACTTGGGTCCTTTTTTCGGGGTGTCTTGGCAGGTTGTTTTGGCTTACGAAGATTTATCTTGAATCGACGTTTCGGATGAGGACTCCGAATTCCCTCTTGTTCCTGTTCTTGTTGCATTCGTCTGTGCAACACCATGAGGTACTGGATAATTGGTCTTGCAGAGTCAGTCGTTGGTTTTAGTACCGAGCTCATCGATCGCTTTGATGGCGTTGAGATCGATCGCCATCGTCCAAACCGCTCAATAGCCTGTAGAAACGCCACACCGTCGATCTGACGATTGCATTTAGTGTGTCCCTCACTTTCAGCATCTTCTAGCACCAGAAAACGCCTTACGAGATGTGTCAACTCCTTTTTGGAACACGTGAATGGCAACGTCCGGATCAATCGCTCGAAACTCTTCACATCAACTACCAACGTTGCAGAATTTCGTTTAGTACCTGGTCTTTGGATTGAACGAAGACGTTGTTCCAAGTAGAGATTCACGTCACGAGCCACCCCACGCCACTTTGGTTTATTACTGGACCTTTCTTCATCTTCGTCACTATCAACCCAAGCCTTTCGAGTTGATGCTCGATCAGTACGTAAGATAAGGCTTGCATCACGAAGACCGTCTAGCAACTTCTTGATAACTCCTTCACAGATAGTATCATCGGATATACCGTTCAGCCAGGCTTTTGTTGAATACATCGAACTGTCCGCACTACCATCTACGATACTCAAGAGAATTTTGTTACTCAGTGGATTTCGTCGTAACATCAGTGAGTGGAGCACTCTAGTACCGTCGTTTTGAGTCTCAAAAGCATGCCATTCCAGCGGGATTTCTGAGAATTCATTTTCTGCAGCATTTAGAACTTCCAGAAAAGGTAACTGCACTAATTCCTTGGGTAACGACTGCAAACAATTATCGTTAACATGAAGAATTCGCAGTTGTTTACACTCCGCAATTCCCACCGGTAACAATCGCAGCTGATTGCTCTGTAGTTCACATACTCGCAGTGCTGGGAGTGCTACGAAAAAATCATCGGGAAGTTCGCGTAAACAATTGTTCTGGAGGTGAAGAGCTTGACAATTTGCTAGCACTATCGGCGACCAATTCACCACATTTCGAAGACGGTTTCCACGCACATCAACGCTTGTTACACTGGTATTCACTGGTTTTGGAGGACCTTTACCTTCGACGTGAACAACAACAAGGCGAGGCAGAACTCTAAGCTGATTTTGCGCTAGCGAGATGGCTGAATGTCCTTCAGGTAAAGGATAGGAAGAAAGAGACTCGCCTGTGAGTTGGTTCTGGGATAATGTCATCTCTTCCAGACGTAGCAGCTCACCAATCGAATTAGGTAAACTTGACATTTGATTCTGATGAAGTAGTAGCCTTCGTAGGGTTCCAAATAAGACGTGAATCTCCTCAGGTAGCGTTGAGAGTGCATTAGCATACAGATCCAGTGTAATAAGCCGACTTCTACCTTTCCAAAGCTTCATAACGTCTCCACGAATTGACTGTATTGCATTTCTGGACAGATCTAAAATTTCTAGATTTGGAATCGCCACCAGCGCACTAGGTAAGGAGGTGAGTTTATTCCCACTCAACCGAAGATCTCTAAGCACTTCCAATTGACTCCACATATCGTCAGCCCCCATAAAACTCGCATCACGCAGCAGATTGTCCGACAAATTCAACGCTCGGAGGTTTTTCAGGTTCCCTAGTGCCGATGAGATGCTTTCAAGGCGATTATCCCGAAAATCCAAAATTTGTAACTCTTTCAGAATTCCTACAAAATCTGGAATCGAGGCCAGAAATTGACCTGGAAGCGTCAATTCACGTAGCAACGCCAACGTACCACCAAGTCGAGAGTTTATACTTTCATCGCATTGCAACCAGTGACTTAATCCTGCTGGAGCTTGCAATGCTCGGATATTTTGCAGCTCGGCCTCTAATTGAGTTGTGGCTGATCGAATCCTCGCTTGGGCGCCTGGAACCTTCGCAAGAAGTTCTCGTTTACGAGTAATCAGCTCATGTAAATGACCCCTCGCAGTGTAGTTTTCGACCAAATGTTGAATAGCTTCCCCACGATCCGCATCTTTCACTGTTAAGGGGTCAAACCCCCACATCCGCTGCACGAAGCGTACAAATTCCGCGTCTTCTGTAACATTCCCATCGCTTGTAGCGAGATGAAACTGGAGCAGATCGTGAAGCGTGACTGCTTCGGTACCCACGACTTGGAGCCAAGCTTCAGCAGCTTCTATCTCTGCAGTGGAACAATGGCTGCGCTGTAACTTGATCGCCGCGTGAATGTGGTGAATTCTTGTGTAATCGGGAGGAGGACGATAGCCTTCTCCTCTTCGACCATCTGCGAGTTGTTCGAATACATAGCGTACTAAGGTCGTTCTCTCGAGTGGGAGACTGCGCAGTAATGCCATAAAATCCTCCGTGACAATCACAGCTTCAGGGCTTTCAGGATCACTACAGTGCTGGAATAACAATGCGTAGTCTTCATGTTCAATTGGGGACATTGGTTCTTGTTCAGTCTTCGGAAAACAGCGTTCAGTCTCGTTCAAAAGCCACAACAGCTTCTCGACAGACACGACGCGTTCTCTGCACAAATGTCGCTCGAAGTCTAGCATCCGAATGCCGTACAGCTCCAGACGCAAACGCAGATTCCTTACCAGGATGAACAGATCTCGACAATACGTTCGAAAGCGAAGCGTCCCCAGTACTTCTTGAAGACACTGCAGCTTCGTCCCAAGCTCACACGCTTCCGCTGGTGGTAACTTCGTTGAGTTTAATCCTTCCAAAACACTTCGCTTACGTTCATGAACCTGGATTTCTCGCTCTAGATTCTCGACATCGGCATCGAGTTTTGCTGAAATTTCGGCGAGAGCGAGCCACCGTTCTAGTGATCCAGGCTCAACAGCTTTAGAGACCGATTGCTGTCGTCCCTGGGAGCTACAAAGTGAACGGAGTGCCGTCACACTTGACGTTACTACGCTTCGTCCACGGTCGTTGGTGTCGCCGGATTGAAGACGTCGAGAGTAAAGCAGAAGGTCTGGCAGACTTCGCAGCGAATTGAGCGTCGAGATTTCGGCTGGAGACCGCGTCAACGGCACTGGGTCCGTCTTGACCATTTTTCCAGGCCAACTCACACGTGAAGAGGTGACGAAGAGGACGATAATTTTATCGGAGACCAACTCGACGTCGTTTCAAGATCCTGTCGAGTTGGTATCCAGTCGGTCACCATGGGGATGGCAAGTTCACGCGTGCTGACGTCGAAGTCTCCGTCGTGGTATGGTTTGCAGTGCGGTATGAACTACTCGAAGCGAGATTTGATGGTGTGGCCGCAACTGGAGCCTCTGGCTCACTGGTTCACGGCTCAAGATACTCGACGACTGTATCTTCGTCTTCACAGCAAAGCAGGAACGACGGGTTTGTTGACGTTGAGTGAGTTTCTGCAGTGGCTTGACTTCGAAGATAACCACTCCGGTGGTTTGGATCGACGTTCCAAGGGATCGCGACCAGAAATCTCGGATGTCATGACACCTCCACTGCGTGGAAACCAGCTACGTCTTGGCTGTGAAGATACTGCTAAAGACCCACCGTCGATCTTAGAGAAACATCTACAGCATGCCTTTCTTACATTTACTGACGGACGTGGTGGTCGCCTGTACGCTCTGGAGTTCCTAGCTGCCATGGTCGTTATCTCTCGAGCGATCTGGGACTATAACGAAAAGATGACGTTGCTGCTAGAGTTATTCCATGACCCCGCGACTTCCACCAATAAAGCAACAGCTTATACAAGTGCTCAACGTCTAAAGGAGACGGACGTAGCTCGTCTCTTTCTTTGCGTCATGAATGGCGTAGGTCGAGCCACTCAAGGAGTCGCTACAGTCTGGCAGACTCACCAACTCCGCGTGGCTACTTTTGCTCGACAAAGCGCTTTCCACTGTATGCAGAGCATCATGAGCACACGTACGTGTACGAACAATGATCCATCAACCAGCAGGAGCGTATCGACTGAGGAATTCCGAGTGTATGTGACCCGAACGCCGGCTCTGCATCAATTCCTGTCACTTTTCTCGGGCGAGGAACTTCGAAACCCGCTCACGTTCGAGCGTAGTGCTGCTCATTGTTCACGACAAACGGAGCTGTACGAATCACTGCTGCGTCGATACGTGACGTTCGAGGGCCGTGAAGAACGCCGTCGCAATAGTGCAGCACTGCTAATACAGTCCACATGGCGACGTCGCTGTTCGCTGTTCGATGCCCACCGTCGAGCCGAAGATCGAATCGCGCAGCGGCACAAATCGGCGGTTCAACTGCAAGGTTTCTTCAAGCATCGACGCGTTGCTCGAGAGCTTGAGGCACGTGCTGAGATCGAGAGATCGGCACTAAACGGAGGTGTATTCGCTGCTGGTTCAGGTCCCAGTATCGGGATCGCGGCGGACGCTAAGAAAGACAATTCAGGTGCCCCCGTTCGACTCATTGAAGCTTTCGTGAACCTCAATGCAAAGCTGAGGACGTTGACTGCGTCCTCTACGTTTGCGTTAGGCATACAAGACGACGGTCACTCAATATTCGCTTGGGGACGCTGTTTACCACGGATTTATAACGATAGTGAGAGTAAAGTCTGCCTAACGCAAGCTACGCCACGTCGGCTACATGTTCGCTTACCAGTACCGATAGTTGAGGTGGCTTGCGGCTTACGACACGCCCTTGTGCTTACTCAAGACGGTATGGTGTACTCGTGGGGGTTCAACGACCACGGACAATTGGGACACGGATCAGCAGAAACTCTGACTGCTCGCACCTCCGGTCGAGTGCGTTATGCGTCATACTACGATGAACGCTCAGGCGAAGAGGAAGACTATTTGGCTTCCCCAACTAAACTTCTCTACTTTGAAGGCTGTGCCGCTCAGCAGGCAGATCCGATCCCAGTAGCTCATGTGTGTTGTGGAGATTACTATTGCATGGCGTTGAGTCGAGCAGGAGACGTCTTCACATGGGGTGAAGCATCCGAAGGCCAACTCGGCCATGGCGAGACACACGAGTATTATCAAGTTGCTCTAGCGGACCGTCACATGGTCAGCTCAGCGTACACGTACTTGGCACAGCCCGAACCAGTGTTGGCACTTTGCGACGTATGCATCGCCCAAATTGCATGTCGAGGGAACCATTCCGTCGCATTGAGTACTGCACAAACGGGGTATAAGCTTTATGAATGGGGAAACTGGGGTAGACGACGAGGTGTGGACAGCGAACACGCTTTCGTGCCGGAAGAAACAGTCGGAGTCTCTGCCTTGAGACTGCGCCAAGTCGCTGTTGGAGACCACCACATGCTGGCTGAAGGTGCGAGTGTCTGGCTAAAACTTGCATTGCGCACGAATGGACCGATCCAGAACGGAGAGGAAGAAACAGGTTTCTTTGTAGAGCCATTGGCAGGAGCGTCAAGTTCTCTGGAGGCTATTGAGAGAGACTTTATGGGGAAGGAGTCGACCTCTTGGGTCTGCTGTATAGTTGACTTGGATGCAGACGACGTTGATGAAGACGATAGTGATAACACTACAGGTACCGATGCAATCACAGAGGAGATCGACAAGGGTGCGCTCTGGCATAAGCGAGCAGAGAGATTTGCGTTGAATCTAGATGGACTAGCAGACTTTGATCCACACTCACTACGTCTTGTTAGTGCGCCTGGTAGTGCAAATAACTCTGCTAGTACGTACGCGCAAGGAGTCGATCAATGGCTACGTGGTCGGGTGGCAAACAGACTGGTGGTCATGCCTCGGGGTAAACCCGCCGGGTTTTACATGCAGTTCCGTCTTCCCAACAGCACCGGACAGGAGTCAAACTACGGAGACTCTAGGAATGAGGGAGAAGATGACGATCCCAATACCAACTTCGAAGCCTCTGGGGTGGTGCTGGAGCTGGCCGTGTGTGGGTCCAACACGGCTAAACGTGTCGCTGGACGGCGCGGATTTACCACGCATGTGTTTCATCCGGCCATGGAAGCGGCTGCTAAACGCCTCAAGCAACAGCAACTGCGTGCGCGATCTGTGACCAAGAAGAAGCCGACGGTCGCATCCACCGAGATGAACAGCATCTTCGTGCTAGAGATCGACCAGAGTGTGCTAACACCGTTGGCTTCAGCCGTCGCCGAGGGAATCGGAACGGAGAGTGAGGCAGAACTGGAAGCGGAGACCATCATTAGTGACATTGGCCACCGTGTACTGGAGCTTCAAGAAGCCGGCGCGCTTGCTGTGCTTGTGGTGCTTGATCTGTTTGATGCTGATGCGTTCTCATTGCGCTTTTCGGACGACTCTGGGGTGTTTATCCCAGTGTTCATGGTAACACGACAAACTCAAGCTGTCGTCATCGGATCCTATGGAGACGTAGGACCTGTTTCGGAGCCTGATGATGGAGATTCAACACGACGCACCTCATGGACAGTCCAAGAAATACTGAATTACGTGCTTGTATCTCCGACAACGTCAGCTCCACAGCCAAGTGTTGGCAATTTACCACGTCGTTCCTTTCAATCTATGATTCCAGCATTTTCGTTGCAGCCACCACCGCCTCTTATGGCTCGATTCTTCTACCGCACAGATACTGCAGCATCCAGAGCTCGGGGTGCGTTTGCCAATGGAGCAACCGCCGTGCTGTTTGTGGCAAATGAAATCCCGTCGGAACCTTCACAGGAACCACTTCGGCGATCTCTGTCGATGGCTTTACCAACGCACACCACAAAGAAACACCAACTTGTCGGACTCATTCCACATGAACATGGACAACGATTGCGATCTGCGTCTCGCTTAGCTACCATCGAGACGCCAGCACAGACACCGCCAGTACGCCGCTGGTCGTTGTTTGGAGCTTCGTCGACGTCCAGTGCTACAACGAACTGTGATTTGGTCGCTGACATGCAGTTTGAATTGCGTCCAGGTGGTACAACTTATGCTTGGGGTGAAGCCGAGAATGGACGATTGGGTTTGGGAGAAGTGGTTGCTGCGAATACGGGAGATGACTCGACGGATATCCCCGATGTTGAGTCTTTACTATTTCAGGATGGATACGAGGCTCTCACAGACGCCACGTACAGCTTTGTGGCGCAACCAACACGGATTCCTACCCTTGCAGGTGTGGAGATGAATCAAGTATTGTGTGGGAGCGCGCATTCACTGGCTGTGACCACGAACAGCAAGGTGTTCTCCTGGGGACGAGGTGCACGAGGACAGCTTGGCCATGCTATTACCTCCTCACGCTCAGCAAGCACTGCGGCTTCTCCTACGGATGAGTGGACGCCACGAATGGTTCGTGGGCTCCGTTACGATCGAGTTGTACAGGCTGTTGCAACTGACCAAAGCTCGCTCTTTCTCTCGGAGATCGTAGCACCAGCTGTGTTCGAGCAGCGGAGGCGTCAGCTCGTCCAGCTCCGAGCCATCTCGAAACAAACCGTAGTCCCTGCAACTGATGAGTAATAACTAATTAGTTGATAACAAGACTGGCACTTGTTTGGTTGGTGAACGTATCCTATTCTTGCTTAAGTTGAAGCACCTCGCGCAGTCTCAATACTAAGTCCAAGCAATGAGAGGCCTGCTCCTCCACATAAATCGCACCAGGATCACTTCCTGCATTGCCGTGTGCTAAGGTCGACCGTGAAGTTCGGCGTTCCAGCAATTGTGTCAGTCGGGCCTCGGCTGCACTTCCGTTCCGGTTAATACGTGTATCACTCTCAAGTTTTGGTAGACTCGACAAGCCCGCAGCCTGAGTCTCATCAGTCGGCTCCTGTGGTAACACATATAGTTTAACGTCGCGTAGCTCCCACGTTTCCCAGAGCGGCGACGGCTGCGAGAGGTAAACGCAGAAGCTGTCGAATATGTGTGGATTCCAGCTCACAGGCAGCTGATCCAGCTTGATGATCTGCCAGTTCTGCGCATCGTCCTCGCAATGCACATGCTGCATGAGCGGGTAGGTGGTTGCCAACTCTGTGCTGGAGCCGTCAACGTTCACCTGTACAAGCCTCAGCCAGGCTACGTAGTAGTTGCGAAACACGAGACAGCAATGCAGCGAAGGCTTGCTTGGGGTCAGCAAAGACAGCTTGAAGCCGACGCCGCCTGTAGCATTGGCACTAGGGTTCACAAGCTTGGACGAAGCCGACGGTGAGGAAAAGGGCGAGGCAGAAGGGGTCACAGGCAGCCTAGAGATCTGGATCGGCAGCTCCATCATGCGCGATCTTAAATAGCAGTACAGTAGTGCACGCGAAGGGGCGCGACCTTTCGGGTTCCAATCAGAAGGCGTGATTTGTGGAATCTTCAACAGTGTACCATATTAGTGGTACCATTCTGACGTGGCAAGCCTGCCGGAAGTGCAATACGCATTTCAGTACTGGAGCGTGGCGCCCGGTTCGGCGGACATAGTGGGAATTTCCACTGGTGTTTTGGGCCCGGGTTTTGAGTTGAACAACATTTTTGCAATAAGAATGATCATAGGGCGGGACTCAAGCTGTCCCTCTGTCTCATCTGCTCTTACAGTTACTTATATTTGGACCATCACTAATACTTGCCGCGAAATTCTCAGGTGCAGCTGAATAAGCTGAAGACACGCGATGTCGCGAGTACAGGCGCTGAAAAACTGCAGTGGCTGAAAAGATCAGCGACACCATGCTTCGTCAGAGTGTGTAAGCTAGTCGCAGAGCTAAGAAGATTTGTCTTCTTGCGACGCCATGAGAGCATCTATCGGACTCCAACCAAGAATGCGTGTCGCTATCGCAGCGCGCTCAATGAGCACATCCGCATTTATCTTTTGTAACCTGCATTTAGCTGTCGCTTACTAACTGTAAGTACCAATTTCCAGGTTTAACAGAATAATATGCGGGCGATAAGACGGCAACGGCATTCCTAGCGGCCCAGAACGTCCCCAGCAAAAATATCGACGCCTATTGTTGTCGATGAAGCATTATCGAGCGTTTGACCAAATGCAGACTGCTCTGGTCTCAAATAGTCCCCAAACCGCGCGAAGCCACCCACTGCCTTCTAGCCAATCGACCTAACTCGACAAAAGCTCACACCAAACTACGCAACCTTGCCTCTCGTTAGAAACACTGGCACCAGTGGTGCTTGTGTAGAGCTCTGCACATATGTCTCTAAACTAGCAGACTATTGCCCTTACTGTTGTAGCAGCTAGTAAAAATATGTTGCGCAAGTGTGATACCGCTCTATCATTCGGAGTTTTCGCTGCTCCGAGTGTAAGAAGTTGGCAGTGTCCAATTGCCAAACCGCCGCCAAGTCTCACAATTCTACCGGTCGGTGAGGGAGCAGGGTCGGATCCAGTATGGGCTTGAGTCGCCGTGGAAAATGCCCAGTGCGAGTTGCACCAGCCAACTTCGCACTCCGATAGCTCAACCGTTATTGCCAACATTTTTGGCAAGTTCCTCGCGAAAAGCGATAGCAGCTTTGCAAGTGCAAAAGCGCAGCCACCCTGGTGCAATTCCTCATTCCACAAGACGCGCAGTAGGGCGCACTACACTAAGAGCCTCCAGCCAGTCGACAAGGCATGAGCTTCGATCACGGACACGCGGACTTTAGCGAGGAAGAAGATGAGGAGCTCATGTTCGCTTTCGAGGAGCAGGACGAAGAGCTCTCGCCGCGTCTGCACAACGAGGGCTCGCACATCTTTCACTCGATCGACGGCGTGGATTTCGAGCGTCCAGCCAACCCCGTTGCCGCCATCCTCGAGCGTCGCGAAGCTCTTGATCAAAAGAAACGCGGACGGGAAGAAGACGAGGTACAGGTATATGAAGCGAACTTAGCCGAAGAGAAACCCGTCGCAACCCCCGTCCTCAACAACCGCAAGCGCAAGACGTTCGATCTTCCCAACGCCCCCGCGCGTGTCATCCGCCCATTGGCCAAGAGACTTAAATCCAACGCGTCCGAGCGCTCCATTACGGCCCCTGCCTGTCTTATGAACAATCTATCGCTCCAGATATCGAGGGAGGAAGCGATCCCTGAACTGGAGCACGAGGAAGAGAAGAGCAACGTCCCGTTCCGCTCCGCCTCCATCAACATCCCAGACAGTTTCCAGCCCATTCACTGGCCAGGAGACGCCGCAGTTTCACGCAACTCCGGACGGGATCGAAGTCAGTCGTGCAGTTCTTCGTCTTCGTCCAAATCGTGGACCAGTGGCCTCGGGCTCTTCTGTCGTCGCAGTCTGGACGTGTCTTCCCCAATGCGCATGCGCTTCAACGACCTGATGCTCCACTCGTCGGCCGGAAGTTACACGGGCTCGTGAACACTTTGGCAGCGTGCTACACTACACTAATCGCCAAAGGCAGGCCATGTCCATTCTGTCCTCACTCAGCCCCACAAAAATCTCAGCCTTCATCGTCAGGGACAGACCATAAAAACACACAACGGCAGCGGTTCCAAGCAGTGGAGCTGACTGCCAGCCAATCTATTGCATCTATCTAACCACGCAACAAGAGGCCATGCAGCCCACCCACCGCTCGATGCGGTGGGCCCCCACCAGTACACTCGATGGGTTATTTATTTTGCATGAGAGAAAGTAAAACAAAAAAAAAACACACCGTGGAGATGACATACACTCCACAACCAACACACATTCCTCACGCAGTTCTCTTTTCCATTGTGTCAAAATGATGCGTTTAACATCTTCAGTTTAGCTCAAAAGCTGTTGCAGTTCTGCAAGACATTCCTGTACCACGGGCGAAGTGGCTTGGCTGGCCTTTGCAGCAGTGAAAATGGCAATGTGAACACCCGCCGTTTCTTTTGCCTTGGCGTCGCCACAATGTGCCTGTAGTATTTGAATAAAAAATTCATCATGTTAGACAAAAGCTCCACATGTTGCATTGGCAAAGACGTACCAGTGTGCCGATGGCCACAAGTGATCGCAGGATCGTATCGTCGCCTAACTCCTGGACAGTGTACGAGCCGTTGAGCAGGTCGGCGGCCAATGAGACCACCACAATCTGGTCATCGGGTGGCAGGGCTCCTGGACTTGCTACTTGTGCTCGCGCGAAGCTAAACAAAACAACAAAATAGTCAGTAATTACCTTCCACCATGTCAACACGAGCACAACTTACTTGAGGAGAACAGTCGACAGACTCAGCGCCACAAGTTTGTGGTGGAAAGTCTGGAACGACGGCAATTTGCTCAGCATCTCCGTCTTGTGAGCCAGAATAGCCTTTCGAGCCTCATCGTGCAAGAACATGTTTGCAAGCACACGCAACGATAGCATACGCGTTGCCACAGGAATCGCGTCGTCGCCATCAGTGGGTCCTGGTTGCAATCCCAAGGACAACACCTTGGTGACAAGTGTGTCTAACCCAGCTTCACCCAAAGCTGCTGGACCCTGTGGGTGGACCAGCACAAGGCGGAGAAGATCCAACGTTGGGAAGGCGAACTTTGCAGGCCACTTGTCTAGTGCATTCTTCAATGTCGTGATCTCGGGGGGAGCGAATGTGCTCGAGTGGTAGAACGCAGTGTCCTGGACAGTATGTACGATCTGGTCAAGCGCGATCAGCTGGGAGTCAATGAGAGCTTCTGGAGCCTACAATAACACAGTACAGCGATCAAAAGTTAATAAGATTTTGAACTATTGCATTTTAGAGCAACAAACCTGAGCCTCCTTCATCTTGTCGTTAAACTGACGCAACGTGGTCATGAGCTTGGCAATTTTAATCGTTTCGAAGGTGTTGTAGCCAGACTAAAAACACGCATCAAGTGTTAGTTAGTTAGACAGACACGGGCACTTGTCCAAATCATAGCAGGAAAGACGTACCACAGGGAAGTATTTGTATCGTGAGGCAGTGACAGCAGGCTCGCTAGAAGCGGCACCAGTAGCTGCAGAGTACGCACTATCATCGTTTCCGAGCACAGGCGGACGGTACTCGGCAGCACGCTGTGTGATGTAGTCAGCGATTTCTCGCAGATATCCCTGGTCCAGCATGTGCTTGTCGATAAAAGTTTGCGCCACCGTGAATGGATTCTGACCCTGGTTGTATCCGATCTCCAGCTTCTTTAACCCACCAGGCAGTTCAATCTCAACAGGGATCACCATATCGTACGCCTCGCCGTCTACCACACCGCCACCGCCAGTTCCAGTCACTTCCCCAATCTACAAAAATATCAATAGTTAATCCATTTCTAAGTCATCCACAGCAACACAGTATATCGTACGTCAATCCACGTTCTCGACGGTCCGCTCCATTGACAAGCCCACGCCTTCGAGCCCCGACGGAACATCTGAATCTGTCCGTCTGAAGTCCCGTTGACACTGGCACGTTGCTCGTAATCAGGAAGCGCCTCAATCTCCACGCCACTCGGTCCACGAGTCTTCGCGATCCGCGCTTCCTCCACTGCAGCCTCGAACGAAGCCACCGCATTCGGATCCACACGTGCAGCATCATGTGTGAACACCCGCACAACTTTATCGTCACAGCCAGTAGCAAAGTCTCCATTCGGCAGTGCAGTAACACACCACAGTCCTCCTGGATGCTCCACCGTCTGAATAAGAGCCCCTTCCGGCGACCAAACACGCGCTGTGCAGTCTTCACTAGCAGATACCAGGAACCCGTTGCTCAGTACACAAACACCCAACACGAAGCCTGGTTTGCCTTCAGCATTTAACGGATGCTCCATACTGGCCAGTACAGTTCCGTCCAGTGTACGCAGCTTAATGGATCCATCGTTGGAGCAGCTTACGAAGCCGAGATCAGGTACCAGAGCCAGCTGTCTGATGGGGCCTCGATGGTCTGTTAGCGTCTTGGTCAGTGCGTACGTGTCCTTGGCCCAGAATCGCAGCTTGAAGTCCGCCACACTGTTGCCCACCTGTTGACCAGTGGAGCCTGTGACCAGTGAGCCATCGGGCAAACCCAAAACGCACACGCCGTTCTCGTGACCGGGTAGAATCTGTAGACACTGGAGCGTCTCGAGACTCCAGACACGTGCCGTGCCGTCCCAGCTACCGGATAGTAGCAGTTTCTTGTCCGTGGAGAGTGCAAGAGAGATGACTCCACCCTCGTGCCCTTGAAGGAGACCGTAGCGCTGGCCCTGGGCGTCGAAAAGGCGGATGTTCTTGTCCATACTGCCAGTCGCGAAGCCACCACCTTCGAGCGCCACACTGGCCGTGACCCAGTGCTCGTGGTCGAAAATGACAGCGCTCTCCATTGCTACAAAGCTGCCGATGGTGGAGCTGGAGTCACGCAGCCAGAGGCGAGCTACGGAGTCCATAGCGCCGGTCATGAGGAGATCATTAGACAGAGAGGAGATGCAGCGGACCTATAGAGACGTACAAAGGGAGATAGTGAATAAGAAAAGTGTGGGAGGTAGTCCGAAGAATGGAGAAGACAATGGAAGCAATAGACGGTGAGAACTTACAGCGCCCTCGTGTCCACGCAGCTCGCAGTTGACGTCGTACGTGGCCGCCATTGTCAATTCCTCCTCGATTGAAGGGGAAGATAATCGTTTCTAACGGGAATAGATCGTTTCTAAATGCACTTAAGTCCGATCACTCACTTCAACATAAACTCACTTAGGTGCGATTCACTTCAACATGCTCCTTTGCCCCACAACTGGACTATTTGACATTATGTTCGCTTGAGATGCGATCCTCACAACTCGCCTCAGGCGGCCTCGATGATAATGCGTTGAGTGTTGTCACCGGTGTTGCAGCTCTTCAGCTTCATCAGCTTATTGCTAGCATTGTCGAATGCCAGACAGAATCCTGCGTGCTTGACGTGCTTGATCATCTGGTTGGTGGCATCATAGCTCCACTTTTGGTTGCCCTCGGTAGCGATGCACGCGTACGTGTGCACTCGGCCACCATTCCAGGCCTCGTAAGCGTCCAAGCACTGTCCGTTGATCTTGGAGATCAGGTGGTTCGAGTTGGCGTCCCAGAACCAGTGCTGCTCCCATTTGCCCGTCGACACGGCACCCACGATCTTGTCCTGGGGCGCTGGCTGCAAATACGCATTGATTACGCTGGAGCCGTGCACGGTGGCAGCAACAGCAGTCGCAGGGATCATACGCCACACCTGGTTGTTGTTGTTCAAGTGACAGCCCCAGAGCTGTAGCTTACCCGCACCGTTGTTAGCAGACAGATCAGCGTCTAGACAGAAGCCGTTATGTTTCAGATGCTTCAACTGGTTCGTGGTAGAATCCAGATTCCAGTGCTGGTTGGCCTCGTTCACGTTGCAGGCGTACACATGAACGATACCGCCGTCCCAAGGCTGGTAAGCGTCAAGGCACATGTTGCTGACCTTTGCCTTAACAAGGTGGGTGCTAGCGTCATAGTACCATTGCGACCCGGCGACGTTATTACCGCCAAAGGCGATGGCGACGTTATCACCGTTGCGGACGAGCTGAGCGAAAGGTTTCGAGGACTCCATCGTATAGAAGCGCACAGAGCCATCCGAGAACGTCCAGCCGTCCGTGATGTCGTTGGGATCCATGATACCCCATTGCTGGTTCGGGTTGTTGGGCGAGCATCCGTAAAGATGAAGTTTGTTGCCCTGCCCAGCGTCTTGATCGAGACAGAGGCCCTGGTGCTTCACGTGCTTCAGCTGACCCGAAGCGCTATCATACATCCACTTCTGGTTGGTTTCACTGTCCATGCAGCGGTATACGTGAACGATACCGCCGTTCCAGCCCTGGTAAGCATCAAGACAGCGGTCGCTGCTCTTCGAACGGACCTGCTTCGTAGCAGAGTCGAAGAACCACACCTGCTGCTCCTG